CCTAACATTAATAACCATCAGCCTTGACAGTGCCACAGGAATTGATTTTACCATATGTGATTCTGCTCTAAGCAACGTGGTACTCAGAAGATATATTATTGACCATTTCAAGGCAAATTTTGAAAATCCATAGTATGTTGTAATAAATGAAGAGCGAGGCATGAACATTCGGAATGGCCTCGTGAGATAGCTGATACAACATAAATCATTTTTACACTTTTATAAAGAAACTTGCAATTCAGTTTGTGACAAAACAATACATTTCAGTGTAGACCTCAAAATGACAGGACTGACACTGGCATTGAATAAGTACTCATCATATAATGTTTATTGACCTGTCACATGGTGAATATTGACTCTTATCTCCCAGAAAACCAGGCAATATCTGGAAGTAACATTTCGTGTTTCACAAGTTTCTACAATGAAACAGAGAGCATTTTAAGGGCTTCATAAACTTTAGAGTAAATGTCAGAGTAACATAAGGAATGATTGATCTTGATGAGGTTAAGATGCAAATAAATTGACCCCTCGTACTTGGACACGAGCAAACAAAAGAAGTGAATACAAACATTAAGCATCATTGCAATATTAACTATACTACTCAAAGGAACTTAAGGCTACCCAGCTCTTTAATATTACCATAGTTAATTGTGACATGATTCTTCCATGTTACTGTATGTTAGACTCTTTTGGCATGACAGCAAAACTACAGTAATATAAAGGAAGTATATCATGGCAGATTACCACGAATATTTGTATGAAGTGCAGCATGACACATTCATTATGGTAATATGAAAGAATCACGGAAGAACAGATCTACTATAGTTACATGAAAGAATTGTTGCATAACAGATCTTTTATAGTAATATGAAAGAATCACATCATAAATTGTTCTTTAACTTAAGTTGAGTAGTATATATACTGTAGCTGTACTATAGGTCTTCCATTTATGTTATTGATATATTGCAGTCCTGACCGAGGTTACAATATCTGTGCTGCTCTCTTAGAATAAACGATTCTGATATTGAATATTTCCTCTACAGTGCCTCAGGCTGCTCCACAGTGTTTTCATAATATTTAGATCTGTCATCCAAATCTGTTTCACACTTCATATGCTCCTGCTGAATGAATGTGCCACGATATGAAGTCCAATCGACCATGGTTTACCTCCTAAACTTCCTACTTCACTTGCTGTTAAATATGAGTACATATATTTTAGATTGTGCAACAATGTATCTACTTATTGAGTTGTGAACAAGACTGGTCAATAGTTTTATCCACTGTTGTGCTCGGTGTTGATTCGGGGCGGTGGGGTAGCCTAGTGGTTAAAGCGTTTTAGATTGCAACAATGTATCTACCGAATTGAGTTGAATCCCCACATGGGTACAATGTGAAGCCCATTTCTGGTGTCCCCTGCCGTGATGTTGCTGGAATGTTGCTAAAAGCGGCGTAAAACTAAACTCAGTCAATCAGTCAGTTGGTGTAGATTGACAAAAGGTTGTACCTTGCTAATGATTCCAACATAAGTACATCAAAAGATGCCTGATTGAAAATGCAAATCTACTGGAATAACATTGTGGGACTACCCATAGCTCTTAGCAATGACAATCATTTATAGAGAGCAGCAGTAGAATATTATTCGTTACCACAGCAAGATAAGTCCAATATTGGTTCAAAACTGTTTCATTAGTGTTAATAACATTATGAAAACTGTTCAACTACATAATAAAATCTAGGGGTAATTAAAATATTATTAGGACAGCACATTAAATATTGATTTGAAAAAAAAACCCACCATTTTCTTATCATTATGTAAATATTCATTTATTAGTAAATATCAATAATATTTCACCAAAGTGGTAGACAAATGTTTAGCCATGCCTGAGTATATCTAAGTGTTTAGTAAATATAAAGCACATACGCTCCACAAATAATAATCACATAATTGTGTTTGATTTTTTTCTATTTTTAAGTGCTGTTTTAGGTCAGTGCATGTTAAACTGACATTTCATCAATAAATGTCAACAACATTGAACTGCACGCCAGATTAAGATCTCAGAAAATGAATGTTTGACAATCAGTTGTAAAGAAAGGAGTATTTGGCAGTGTAATCCCACTATTTACTCCTGCTTTCCTTGGAGACACACATCAGAATGGGCTGACTGTGACAGGCTGCTAAATATAGTACATGTACATGTATATAATTGCTAATGACAAAAATCTTATGAAATATATGCCTTTATCAAATACCTGGACAGTGAAATATATGCCTTTATCAAACACCTGGACAGTCCTGGCTACTTTGTTATCAGGTTCCAGTATTATGTATTTTTGTGTGATTATGAATACAGAATAAAAGAATATTCATACATTCATTACATATTCCATGTTTGGATCCAGTACATGAGGAAAGTTAGATATTTTCTCATGTATACAGTGATATACACATGGTATTTGACAACACATCAATATCCTGTATCTGGAATATGAATATTGCTGACCCTAGTATAAAACGTATTCACTAGCTCATTGACATTGGTGTTACAATTTTGGATAATTTACCTATTATGTGAGAGTTTTCATTGCAAAATTGCATGAAATTATCATTAATAAAGAAATATGTTTGTAAGACAAGTAAATGCCACCATGTATGATTCATGCCTTATCCACTATATAAGCTGGGGCAGAGGGGAGCTGTTGTTGTTAGTGCATGCATTCATCAGACCTAGGTTTGATTCCCCACATGGTTACAATGTTTGAAGACGATTTTCTTGTGCCCCTTCTTTGATATTGCTAGAATATTGTTAGTCATAAAAACCTTCTACCTCAGTGTAGGGGCAGTGGGGTAGCCTAGTGGTTAAAGTGTTCGCTGTCATACCAAAGGCCCAGGTTTGATTCCCGACATGGTTACAATGTTTGAAGACCATTTTCTGGTGCCCCTTCTTTGATATTGCTAGAATATTGTTAAAGGCATGAAAACCTACTAGCTCAGTGTAGGGGCAGTGGGGTAGCCTAGTGGTTAAAGTGTTCGCTGTCATACCAAAGGCCCAGGTTTTGATTCCCTACTTGGGTACAATGTGTGAAGCCTATTTCTGGTATCCCTTGCCATGATATTGCTGGAATATTGCTAAAAGCCATGTAAAAACCCAACTCACTCACTCACTTGCTCAGAGGATGAAGTCTATACTATGTGATCATATGCCAAATTCTGACATGTCATCAAGTCTTAGGAAGGGATTTTTAGAATGCTATATGAGCATAAGATCTCAGACCAAGAAAGAAGAAAACAGTCATGAATACATAATGTGCTGATAGTTATCAGGGAGGGGGTATTCTGTGTCTATGAAGACAGTTTAGTCCTGAAATACGAGAACAATCATTAGTGGAGTACATATCTGTACAATCAGGGCTTGTTCCGTGACCCATGTACTATGGTAGAACTGTGCCAGTCCAGGAGAATAACTCTGAATATATCAAAACATTCTATTTTAGATGCCAATTCAATTCTTCCTTATGATATTTTCAACTTAAATCAGAAAAGAAGTGTTTTTATGCTCAAGATCATGTCCAAAGACACTGATTAAGATTTGAACCTGTACTCATTCCTCCAGGCCATGTTCAAAGGGTTAAAGTATGGTAAAGATGATAACTCGTGTATGGATCACACAGTAGCCAGTGACATGTATTATGTATATACAGGGCATTCCTCCAGGTCATGTTCAAAAGGCGTTGGGTAGCACTGAGTGGTGATATCTGGATTTCTGCCATCCAGGAAAGGGTTCAATCCCCATAAGCTGAATTTGGGGATAAACAATGTGTGAAGCCCATTTCTGGTGTCCCCAGCTGTGCAAGGGCTGAAAATGGTAAACATGCTAAAAGTATGAACAAACAACCAAACATCAACTTTGTCAGTCAGTCATGTTCAAAGGGTTCAAGCATGGTAAAGATGAACCCTATGTGTATGGATCACACAGTAGCCACATGTATTATGTATATACAGGGCATTCCTCCAGGTCATGTTTCACACTGTTAGAACATGTGGGAATATGCAGTACCTAGTGATTTTAGATCACACATTTAACATACTCTGGAGTGAGTGTTTTCAAGCAACAAATATTTCCTTTTTACTGCGGACTGTGTGAGTGGCAGTTGATACTGGGCAGGACAGGCTCACACTTGACATGTACACAGTGTTGTCACCTATGTTCCGTCATCCATTATCACTCATATTTTGAATCGTATGTTTCGATTCCCCACATGGGTACAATGTGTGAAGCCCATTTCTGGTGTTCCCCGCCGTGATGTTGCTGGAATATTGCTAAATCTAAAATCACTCACTCACTCTGAATCCCAAAGATGCATGATACAGGAACCATGGTTAGGTTAAAATAAACAGTATGTTTCTATATACACTGCAAACTGACTGTATGTAATATTAAATGAGTTAACTCAGGTTGAGTATGATAATTTATTGAAATCAATGAAACTTTCTTACGGATTTAGACACATGTTAAATGTTGCAGTTCCTTCTTGCTCATGTCTGTTGTTAAGTCAGACCTAATTTGAAACTCTTGAAGTATGACAATGAAACATTAACCATTACATTGTTGCACATGCATTGTTTGTGGCACTCTTGACTAGCAGTCTGGAACCAACATGCTCATAAATATAAGAATCTTCTACTTAGGTATTGTCATCTAATGACATTCAATTTACTTCTTATTATGATGGAAATCATGCAAAGTTTGGTTATTCTTTTACTCTTGTTAAGATGTAAATTATCTTTAATGATAAATTATCTTATTGAACACACAAATACATTGTTTCCATTAGTGAGATTTATGGAGTGTTATAACTGATATATCTACTAGATGTTTGTATGCATATATATGTCAAAGATTGTATATCCTGAATCATGTTTGTATAACTTTGTAAGTATCATTTGTGGTAATTTACTGTTAAATGTCATTTCATTCAAGTTTTGGTATCCTTTTAATTAGGAATGGAATCTTTCATCGAGATGTAAAACCAGAAAATATACTGATAAAGGTGAGTATTATTATGATTTTCACTTATGGTTTAATTTCTATAAAAATATTCCTGAGTCATTCCACAAAGTCTGTGTGAATGTAGGGGCGGTGGGGTGGCCTAGTGGTTAAAGCGTTTGCTCATGCTGAAACCCAGGTTCGATTCCCCACATGGGTACAATGTGTGAAGCCCACTTCTGGTGTAGCCCGCTGTGATATTGCTGGAATTTTGCTAATAGCAGCATAAAACTCAACTCACCCACTCACTCAGTGAATGTAAGATTTGCAATCAACTTTTTAGTTGATCACTGTAGGTTCTTCAATTTACATCCATTTTCCAAGTCCTGTGAAGATCCAGATTTTAATTGGTCTTCAGCGACCCATGTTTGTCGTAGCAACTAATGGGATCGGGAAGTAAGACTTGCTGACTTCGTTGACACATGTCATTGTATCCCAGTTGCGTAGATCGATGATCATGCTGTTGATCACTGGATTGTCTGGTCCAAACTTGATTATTTACAGACTGCCGCCATGTAGCATGTTTGTCGTAGCAACTAATGGGATCGGGAAGTAAGACTTGCTGACTTCGTTGACACATGTCATTGTATCCCAGTTGCATAGAATGATGATCATGCTGTTGATCACTGGATTGTTTGGTCCAAACTTGATTATTTACAGACTGCCGCCATATAGCAGGAATATTGCTGAGTGCAGCATTAATCAACAAACCAACCAGCCATTTTCCATTCCAAGTTTTTGTCGATATACCTCAGTAACATAATATAATGTCCACAACAAAGGTTTTCCCCATTCCTTCCATGTGTGAACTTCATACCAAGGAACCTGACAATGAGTAGGAATCCCCTGTACCTGCACTGGATTAATTGATGTCCTCTTCACTACAATTGCAACATTGTAAATGTTTCATAGTAATTACTACTTACTCATTCAGTCATCAAGTACAATGAGTGATTATGACTGTTATTTGCCGCTTACCTATTGAACTGCTTAGTTCTTGGACTACTTACATACTGTACATGTGATATGCTGTGATATGCGGGTTGCCAAGTTGTCTAAAACAAGCCATTCACTGTGTAGACTTGTGTCCTTAAGGTGTGACAGTTATGGTTCAAATCTGATTGTTTCTAGGTTTCTTAACACCATACCCTTATGGATTTCTGGTATCTGCTTTACTCCTATCTTTCTCTGACATGAAACTGGCATGTCATAATATGACTGAGTACTGTTCAAAGTTCTCCCCGACCGCGTCATACCAAAAGACATTAAAATATGATACTTGTTGGTCCCTGCCTGGCGTTCGGCATTAATGGGTACAACAAGGACTGGTCGGCTCGGAGTCAGTATACTGTGTCTGAGTGGGGTATTCATGCTTCACTGCGGCATGATATCTCAGTGGGCTAAACCAGCTTAAGTCTGGGCTAGTACAATCAGCCGCACATACACATACACATGCATGCACGTTATCATATGAGCGAAATATTCTCAAGCACGACGTTAAACCCAATTTCACCTCACCTCACCTCAAAGTTCAAACCTGACACACAATGTCGAAGTGTACAAGGGGGACCAATGTCACTATGACTACAGTGGCAAGTTTTTCTTATTGTGTATATTTTTCAAACCTATGCACCTTGTACTATCCATTATCTGGAGTTCATTTGTTTGTATTTTCAGGAAGATTTGCTGAAACTAGCTGATTTTGGTTCCTGTAGAAGCGTGTACTCTAAACAACCATACACAGAGTACATCTCCACAAGATGGTAAGATCTTCCTGGCATAGAATAAGTCCTCAGGACTATTTTACAAAGTGGTTGTCGTTCTGCCAGGGAAGTGAGAGTGAGAGATTTACTAGCCTGACTAGTGTTAACATATATGTAACGTATTTGCTCTAATAAGTGCTGGGTCTCTAATAAGCACCGTGGTTAAAGCAGCGGTTTCAGATCTAAGCACAGTACACCCACTAAGCACCAAAAGCGCCGGGTATGGAAGTCTGTTGAAAACAATCAGCGCGCCTGGGCGGAGGAAATACAGTATTCCATTACAGAACCTCAACTTTTAACAGCCTTTAGGATGCCTTAAACATTAGGAAACATGAGTGAGGCTAGCGTGCTAGTTCCAACCCTGACGGAACCTTGGTTGATAGTTGACTGCTTGGTGGTGCTTGTAACATCAACCACTGGTTTGATTATCCTAGAATAGATTGCAGTGATATAACTAGAATATTCCCGACCATTGCATAAAACAGCAAACTGAACCTCCGATGGGGTCATGGGGTAGCCTGTTGAATAACACAAACATTCATCATTCAGTTCGGGTTTGAATCCTTAAATCGGTTCAGCCAAACTCAGTTCTACCTAGCTGAGAATATGAATGGAATATTGCTAAAAGCAGCTTAAAACCACTCTCTTAATAATATACTGTAATCACACTACAGTGGTGGGGTAGCCTAGTGGTTAAAGCGTTTGCTCATCACACCGGATACCCAGGTTCCCTTCCCCACATCTGTACAATGAGTGAAGCCCATTTCTGCTGATCCCTGCCGTGATATTGCTGGAATATTGCTAAAAGAAGGTTAAAACCACTCTCTTAATAATATGCTGTAATCAGGAAGGAAATCATCTAAGGAAACTTTTTTATAGTAAATAATTGCTCTAGTCACACCCTTCGTGTAATATATGGATTATTGGACTGTATGTACGTCCATTGTTACACTGTATCAAAAGCTTCGCAAATATTGGAGTTAATTAACCATGATTTCTTTGTATTCTTGCCTCTGGGTGTCTGTTAAACCATAGTTCATGTTCTGGGGGGAGATAATCAATATGTATTTGAGTTGCTGAGGTAATAAGTGTGTGATAGGCATCTTGTCAGGTAATGAGAGGAAATGAAGGCCTATGTTAGGAATGCACTCGTCCTGGTATACCCAGATAAGCTTGGATGTTAAAGCTGTTTATTTAGCTCTTCTGAAGCACTGGGGTCATTGGGTGTAAGGACATCTCCGAATCTCCCCGACGATGAGATTGAAATCTATTCACAAGTTTGAGTAGTGGGATCGTATTGTTTTGTTTCATATTTGATATGAGATAACATTTACCAGAAACTACATCATCATTACCCAGACAATCGACCAGAACTCAAATTTAATTCCCGTTCTATATGAACTAAGCTATTCTATGATAGTGCTTGAAGTTTTACAGTCATGTGAGTATCTCATCCTAGCAGGTACCCATTCACTGCTGGGTAAACAGAGGCATATAGTTCCTTTAAATACTCTTTCTCTTTTCATCATAATGCTCCTGCTGTTGATCACTGGATTGTCTGGTCCAGACTCCATTATGTGCAGACCACTGCCATATGGCTGGAATATTGCTGTGTGTGGCGTTAAACAACCAACCAACTTTACATTACAGTTGTATTAGGCTGTCATAACACGATCACTGGATTGTCTGGTCCAGACTCGATTATGTGCAGACCGCTGCCATATGGCTGGAATATTGCTGTGTGTGGCGTTAAACAACCAACCAACTTTACATTACAGTTGTATTAGGCTGTCATAACACTATAAAATCCTTCAGACATCCTCTTATCTGTCAGCTGTTCACATTTACTCTCCAGGATACGCTTTTCCAGCACCTAAAGAGAGAGTACATGGAGTGTGCATGTCAGTCTGGGACCAGAGTATCTCATGAGTCAGTCATGAGCCTAATTTATCAGCATGATATCATATACCTAAGACTGTACCTTGTACGAGATTTCAGACTTACTACAGGATCACTTGACATATAATGTAACTTATTACTGAACTGAAATATAAATTGTCTGTAAATGATACAAGGAATACGATAAAGTAGTGGTTTACTGTAATGTAAGTATTAAAAGCTATTTCTTTTTTAAGCATGCAACTATTGATTTTATTGTGACGGTGTTATTTACACGATGACTGTACACTTAATATTAGATTAGGAACCAACTTCACTGAATGGTCCAAGAGTTTCGAGGTATATACAATAAAGGACCATGAATATGTTGCTGTAGATGAAGCCTACCCTTCAGTAACTTGCACTGTGCACTTAAAATTAATTACCAAAAGTAAAATAATTACAAATAAAGGTTACCAGCTTGTAGAGGACAAGTTTGTTTAAATGCAGGATTTCACAAACATTATTTTTCAAAATAATGTAATTTAAGAACCATCCCTTAATTTATTTTTTGCACAGACATAAATATGTGAATATTAAATTTTCAATGGGTTTTATTAAAAGTTTAAGTATTTTCTTTGGAAGGCTGTTTTTTCATTTCAGCCCGTTGTTATTATAAAGGAAACCAAAATGGGTGAACTTTGTTTCAGGATATGACCATTAGGTTAGCTACAATTATATTTTCAGCAATCAATCAGTCATTTGTTCTAATCAGTCTGATCCATCCTTCTTTTATTTATCCATTGGTCTGTCTGTCTGTCTGTCTAGTACATCCATAATCCATACATCTAATCTGTGTAATTGATCCACTGCATGGGTACTGTCAGTTGGCTAGTAAGGTTAGAACTTTCAAATTAGGAGTAAGGTTTCATGCAATATTCCCGCAATGGGCTTCTCACATTGTACTTAAACAGGAAATTGAACCCAGGTTGTTAGCATGAGCAAACCCTTTAACCTTTAGGCTGCCCTAGCACCCACATGTATTAGGAGATAAGGGGGGCGGTGGGGTAGCCTAGTGGTTAAAGCGTTGGCTCGTCACGCCGAAGACCCAGGTTCGAATCCCCACATGGGTACAATGTGTGAAGCCCATTTCTGGTGTCCCCCACCATGATGTTGCTGGAATATTGCTAAGAGCGGCGTAAAACCAAAACTCAGTCAGTCAGTCAGGAGATAAGGAGTTTGTAGTCAATCATTTGCCAGTTGGGGCAGTGGGCAATTCTAGTGGTTAAAGGCCCAGGTTCCTTTCTCCACATTGATACTTATGTGAAACCAATGAACCCTGGTGGAATAATGCTGGAATTGTTGTGAAACAGTCCTCACTGACTTACTCCGACTATCATTTTACTCAAGACATGCCTGACCACATTTTTACCGGTTTGTGCCGGGGCGGTGGGGTAGCTTAGTGGTTCAAGCATTCACTTGTCATGCCGAAGACCGGGTTCAAATCCCCTTATGGGTACAATGTGTGAAGCCCATTTCTGGTGTCCCCTGCCATGATATTGCAGGAATATTGCTAAAAGTGGTGTAAAACTAAATTAACTCACTCACTGTTTGTGCCCTTCAGGTACCGTGCCCCGGAGTGTCTGCTGACCGATGGCTACTACACATTCAAGATGGACATGTGGAGTGTGGGATGTGTCTTTTTCGAGATTCTAAGGTAATTATCCAAATCCTATCCAGGTTTCCATGAAGATCACAAATTGAGGTTTGTCAGTTATGAGTTCCATCTTCAGTGCCAGCCACAACCAATATATACAGAGGGAAAAAAATAAGGGATCACAACAAAGGAAAAATGTTCCTTCTTTTTCAGTTTCTTCATAAGCTTTGAATCGTATAGCTTGTGAAGAAACCTGGAGAAATAATAAAGGAACACTCATGCTTTCTTGTGATCCCTATTATTTTTCCTCAGTATATATTAGGCTGCATCATAAACATGGAAAAGTTGTTGATAATACCATTGTTAAAGAACATGAATGCCAACACTAAAACATGGAAAAGTTCCTTAAGTTTCTGTTGGAACTACAATATGTTACAGTAAGAGATGGTATTTTATGGATGATAACTTCTTTATTTTATTATGATGCAACATTTCATATAGAACCTTACACCGTTGCTAAGCAAGAGATTGAAATGTCCCATGGTAAAAGAACAAAGAAATTGTCTTGCCTTTACTGTTACTCACCAACTTGTAAATTGCCAAGTCAAACAAACAGTAAGTTTTGTCATTTGTGAGTTTCTTGCAAGCAGAGTTGTAGGTGTAAATGTTTGAAACTTCAAATGTTAAAAATATGTATCGGATCCCTCTTCTACATCTTTGTGTTTTGTATTCCTCTCCTATTCGGCATCATAATCCTTGTTGCTACATCCACAATTATACCAATGGAAATGACTAAGGGAACACATGAAGTACATGTGTAGATCTGGGTTAGAATTGGTCTTCAACGACCCATGCTTGTCATAATAATCGACACACGGGATGGAGTGGTCATTCTCGCTGACTTGGTTGACACATGTCATCGTAACCCAGCTGCATAGATCAATGCCCATGATATTGATCACTGGCAGATTATTTTGAAACCACCACTATGTAGCTGGACTATTGCTGAGCATGGCACTGAACTAGTAACAAACAAAACAAAACATGAAAGAACAATGGTCCTATATCCGTTGCCAGGTTTCTTGCATGTTTGGTATTGTGCTGTTGGTGAAAATCTGGGAATAAAGAACGGAACACTTGTACTTTCATGTGTTCCCTTATTTGTTTCCATCAGTATATTAACATGATTATTTTTCAGTCTTCATCCATTGTTTCCTGGCTCTAATGAAGTTGACCAGATTGCAAAGATCCATGACATTATGGGCACTCCGGAAAGCGGTGTGCTAAAGAAGATGAAGAAGTATGTACCATTCATGCAGTTCATTGCTACACTGTTGCTGTACATGTAAATAGATGTAAAATAATACCATGTCAAGCCTAATGTCTCTATTTACCTGTATAAATAAACAGAGGCCTAGTTACCTTTTGTGAATAAATATAGAATAAAAATTCAAAACCAACAAAAGCAATGCTAAATCATTATTTCTATTGATCACACTGTCAATTTTGTAATTGATGTAAATGCACCATGGTTAAGAGTACGATCTTCCCACATTAAAGTGTAATGAAGGTTGATCTAAAGCCACAGCTGATGACAACAGGCTATTGTGACTAGCTATTGATCATCAGTACAATGAAAAGCTGTTATGGATTTGTGTGAAAAACTGTACTAACAAGTATTGATACATTTTGTTTTCTCGCAGTCGCTCAAGAGGAGCTAGGTACCTCAGTGATTAAACCATTGCATCTTTGTATCGTCTTTCTTCTATCAGATGTGTTCGCTGTTGCTACACTTGCATTACAAATCACTCTAATAAAGTGAGTGAGTGAGTTAGGTTTTACGCCGCTTTGAGCAATATTCCAGCAATATCACGGCGGGGGACACCACACTCTAGTAAAGACAGACTGTCATAGTGTAAATGGTGTAAGAACAGTACCTAAGAATGACCTGTATTTAAGATACTTATTTAACTGGTTACATGGCCCTTCATTCCTTATTGTTCTAGTCATTGATATCTTCTGGTGAGACACTGCATTTGGAGGATGAAAAAATGTATAATATCAGCAGCAACTATCAACTTAATTGTTTTTGTTGTATTTACTTGGCTTGAAATAGTAGTAATGGGATTCTGTAAGAGATAATTATGGTATCTATTTCTGTTTGTAAGATTTTTCTAAATTGAAGCTGATGGACCTGTGATTCATCGATTATAAAAAATAGACCTAAATAGAAAATTTCCATTAAAGGCCTTACTGATTGATTAGGGCTAAGAACATTGTATTAGTTAGTGGGTCACTTGATAATTATGCAATAGCTTTAAATGGTCCTTGTGTGAATGCATATAAAACTATCTGTTCTTCACATGTACTACAGATAAGGCCTGGGCAGACACAATTTAGTCACATATATAACCTGTGTTCTGTGACTATACTTGGAGCGACCTGGCAGTGCTAAAATAAACATGCTTCATTTCCTTATTTATATGTAAACAAATAAAGAATGAAGGGAAAGCTTTCTACACAGTTCTACGTGTGGTGGTGTAAGAATTGTCTGTGCCACCAGACTGCTACTTCCAAGACCATGCATGTGGCATGATGTAAATGAGGTGATAATGCCAGTTTGGATTTGCCACCAGATCGATTTAACTGACTGCTAATATATTTAGGAATAATTAACAAAAGAGCAAAAACAACAAATGAATGTTAATGAAAATGGTGCTATGCAGGATTCTGGGTCAGAATACTTTGCAGTATTATGTACAGAGTGCCATAATTTGTTGATATATATTGCGGAGTACAACATTAAGCAACAAGCAAACTGTCAGATCAGACTACAATAGGGATTATTATTATCAATATCATTGCTGCTGAAGGGAATGTATTTCTCGATTCTTACAGCTACGTTTCCACATATAATTACACCATATCCAGTTTATCATTTTCTGTGGTATTCTCGTCAAGGGTTTGTTTCTTATTCCAAATCTCTGCACCGATATAATATCATTAGAGGTCATTGCTTGCAGGTGCTTGCAGGTGCTTGCAGTACTTTACACTTACGTCCTCTTAACACTAGCATACAAAATGCCATACAGTGTGTATGTATTTGAACTCAAAGCTTTTATTTCTCTCAAGCATCTACCTCTATTGCATCATTAACCATCTACTCTGCAGATTGGTCCATTTGGTGGAAGGTGACACCATCATGGATCACACAAAACACCTAACCAACATAATAATGCTGATGCAACATAATAATACCTACTATAAACTAGAAATAGAAGACTAACTGCCAATTCTGAACATGCTTGTAATAGAATAACTACACCCAAGTGCTTATATATCAGGGACACAGCATCTGTTGATGTTACCTCAAGCAAACATCTGAAAAAATGATGTTTTCTTGCCTTTCGCACACAGTAGATGCTATTGTGAGTACAACTAGTAATGTATAGTTGACAGCGAAGGGGAAAATCTGAAGTTTGGTGATAGTGTGATTGCAGCCACAAATATTGGATTTATGTTAATGATGTAATGGAGGTAGAATTCTTAGAGTTATAGACAATGATGACTATTGTTCAATAAAAAGATTGTTAATAGCTTTGCTTTCTATTGTAACTGTCTCTTCTATTGCTGTCCAGTTCAAAAGCTTGTAGTATGTTTTGTTCTTGCCTACATGTACAAGTCAAGATGATTGGTTTCATGCTAGATGCTGAATGTGAACAAGACTCATGCTATTACAATACAATCATGCCATAGTTTCTTAATGCATGGACGTTTGAACTGTTTGTGATAGCATAGTAGTACATGTGTTTGCTAGTCATCCCCAATATCTGGGTTTGAATCCATACATGAATATGATATATGGTTGTTATTAATATTTTCTTTGGTATGATACTGTGTAATATTACAAACCTGACACAGTTATTGCTTGTTGATGTGTCATTGTGTACTGACCATCAAACATGCACTTCCCCATGGCTAGTGTATTGTGCTACATATGTGTATAATAATTTGTTAGAATATTGTTTTAGTTTCTGTTTAAGAATTTTATGATAATAGGATTAGTATTAACTCCAAACAAAGTGCAATGGCTTTTATACCCCTTGGGGACAGAATATGTTCCAAACAAGACCAAATTCACGATAATTTGATCCATCACATCATGTGCCCTTGTTGAGTTTGGGTCATCCAGGAGGGCATGGATAAATGCTCATCAGGGGCGGATCCAGGATTTTGGAGAGGGTGGGGGCAGGGGAGCGGGTTTGCGGGTGCTCACATTAATCATGAAGTCCAAAGGTTAGGGGGAAATGCTCCTCAGGAAAAAAATTTATTGCGTGCGTGCGCTCCTGCACTCCTCTCTGGATCCGGCCCTGCTCCCCCCTCTGGATCCGGCCCTGCAACAACAAACACCCCCACCCCTTCTCTGGTTCCAGCCCTGCACCCCCCTCTGGATCCGGCTTGCTCATGCATTCAGTCACTGGTTTGTCTGGTCCAGACCACATTTCTGTACACGATGCTTGTCCTCACTTATCATTATCCAGTCTATTATGATATATACTACCCTTTGCCACCATACCTCCATTTCTGAAGGGTGTGGCCACCTTGATGTCTCTTATCTTATTGGATGACTACTTTATCCAGTCTATTATGATATATACTACCCCTTGCCACCATACCTCCATTTCTGAAGGGTGTGGCCACCTTGATGTCTCTTATCTTATTGGATGACTACTTTATCCAGTCTATTATGATATATACTACCCTTTGCCACCATACCTCCATTTCTGAAGGGTGTGGCCACCTTGATGTCTCTTATCTTATTGGATGACTACTTTATCCAGTCTATTATGATATATACTACCCCTTGCCACCATACCTCCATTTCTGAAGGGTGTGGCCACCTTGATGTCTCTTATCTTATTGGATGACTACTTTATCCAGTCTATTATGATGAATACTTTATCCAGTCTATTATGATATATACTACCCTTTACCACCATACCTCCATTTCTGAAGAGTGTGGCCACCTTGATGTCTCTTATCTTATTGGATGACTACTTTATCCAGTCTATTATGATATATACTACCCTTTGCCACCATACCTCCATTTCTGAAGGGTGTGGCCACCTTGATGTCTCTTATCTTATTGGATGACTACTTTATCCAGTCTATTATGATATATACTACCCCTTGCCACCATACCTCCATTTCTGAAGGGTGTGGCCACCTTGATGTCTCTTATCTTATTGGATGACTACTTTATCCAGTCTATTATGATATATACTACCCTTTGCCACCATACCTCCATTTCTGAAGGGTGTGGCCACCTTGATGTCTCTTATCTTATTGGATGACTACTTTATCCAGTCTATTATGATATATACTACCCTTTGCCACCATACCTCCATTTCTGAAGGGTGTGGCCACCTTGATGTCTCTTATCTTATTGGATGACTACTTTATCCAGTCTATTATGATATATACTACCCCTTGCCACCATACCTCCATTTCTGAAGGGTGTGGCCACCTTGATGTCTCTTATCTTATTGGATGACTACTTTATCCAGTCTATTATGATATATACTACCCTTTGCCACCATACCTCCATTTCTGAAGGGTGTGGCCACCTTGATGTCTCTTATCTTATTGGATGACTACTTTATCCAGTCTATTATGATATATACTACCCTTTGTCTATTATGATATATACTACCCCTTGCCACCATACCTCCATTTCTGAAGGGTGTGGCCACCTTGATGTCTCTTATCTTATTGGATGACTACTTTATCCAGTCTATTATGATATATACTACCCTTTGCCACCATACCTCCATTTCTGAAGGGTGTGGCCACCTTGATGTCTCTTATCTTATTGGATGACTACTTTATCCAGTCTATTATGATATATACTACCCCTTGCCACCATACCTCCATTTCTGAAGGGTGTGGCCACCTTGATGTCTCTTATCTTATTGGATGACTACTTTATCCAGTCTATTATGATATATACTACCCCTTGCCACCATACCTCCATTTCTGAAGGGGTGTGGCCACCTTGATGTCTCTTATCTTATTGGATGACTACTTTATCCAGTCTATTATGATATATACTACCCTTTGCCACCATACCTCCATTTCTGAAGGGTGTGGCCACCTTGATGTCTCTTATCTTATTGGATGACTACTTTATCCAGTCTATTATGATATATACTACCCTTTGCCACCATACCTCCATTTCTGAAGGGTGTGGCCACCTTGATGTCTCTTATCTTATTGGATGACTACTTTATCCAGTCTATTATGATATATACTACCTATTTGCCACCATACCTCCATTTCTGAAGGGTGTGGCCACCTTGATGTCTCTTATCTTATTGGATGACTACTATTATGATATTATCCAGTCTATTATGATAATCTCTTATATATGACTACTTTATCCAGTCTATTATGATATATACTACCCTTTGCCACCATACCTCCATTTCTGAAGGGTGTGGCCACCTTGATGTCTCTTATCTTATTGGATGACTACTTTATCCAGTCTATTATGATATATATATATAATGTCTCTTATCTTATTGGATGACTACTTTATCCAGTCTATTATGATATATACTACCCCAGTCTTTATGCCACCATACCTCCATTTCTGAAGGGTGTGGCCACCTTGATGTCTCTTATCTTATTGGATGACTACTTTATCCAGTCTATTATGATATATACTACCCTTTGCCACCATACCTCCATTTCTGAAGGGTGTGGCCACCTTGATGTCTCTTATCTTATTGGATGACTACTTTATCCAGTCTATTATGATATATACTACCCTTTGCCACCATACCTCCATTTCTGAAGGGTGTGGCCACCTTGATGTCTCTTATCTTATTGGATGACTACTTTATCCAGTCTATTATGATATATACTACCCTTTGCCACCATACCTCCATTTCTGAAGGGTGTGGCCACCTTGATGTCTCTTATCTTATTGGATGACTACTTTATCCAGTCTATTATGATATATACTACCCTTTGCCACCATACCTCCATTTCTGAAGGGTGTGGCCACCTTGATGTCTCTTATCTTATTGGATGACTGTCTATTATGATATATACTACCCTTTGCCACCATACCTCCATTTCTGAAGGGTGTGGCCCACCTTGATGTCTTGGATGACTACTTTATCTAGTCTATTGTGATGACTACTTTATCCAGTCTATTATGATATATACTACCCTTTGCCACCATACCTCCATTTCTGAAGGGTGTGGCCACCTTGATGTCTCTTATCTTATTGGATGACTACTTTATCCAGTCTATTATGATATATACTACCCTTTGCCACCATACCTCCATTTCTGAAGGGTGTGGCCACCTTGATGTCTCTTATCTTATTGGATGACTACTTTATCCAGTCTATTATGATAAATTATCTCCTTTGCCACAATAATTCTTTATCTCTATTATGATAAATTATCTCCTTTGCCACAATAATTCCTCTTATCTTTTTTCCAATTTGATATTTCCCACCATGCTTAATACTCTCCTTTGCCACCATACCTCCATTTTAGATTGATAACCATTTTTAGACCACCTTTGTCTCTCTCATCCTATTTCAACTTTGTATCATTTGAATTTGGCTCAAAACTAGTCGATAACAGTGAATATTGCCAAGGTGTTAATTATACCAAAATGGAAATTCCCTGGATAATGCATGTGTCTGGATTATGCATGCTGACAGATATAGCAAGAATATTACTGATCACATGGTCACACAGACCACTTTAGTTTAAGACCATGTCCAGATGTAATATTTTAATGCTGCATTTTTTCAGATCGCGGGGCATCAGCTTCAACTTCCCCCAGAAGCAGGGCACAGGTATCCAGCGATTTCTGCCCCATGTATCCCAGGAAGCCATAGAACTCATCAACAAAATGTGTACCTATGATCCTGATGACCGGGTCTCCGCACGATGTGCCATCAAACATGCTTATTTCAAAGAACTGAGGTAAGTTTGATTTTTGTCCTTATCTCACTGCTCTTAGTGTTAAGGGTGAAAAGTAGGATTTACACTAAAATATGTTTATAAAAACTGCTTTTTCCCCCATATTTTATATGTTATTATGATCTTCATCTGATATATTTCTTGCATGAAGCATGTGAGTAGCATTCAATGTTGATTACCATACTTCATGTGTACTGAGCATTCTCCATGCTCTGCTAGCATATATATCATGTATCTCCCAGCTTCAGTGAAAATGTCAAGCTCTGCAATGAGACTTTTCTCATATAAAATGTGGCTTCAGCTTTTTGGGGACAGTGACACGTTATATGTTCATGAAGACACTTCCTATTTATCCCCCGCAACTCGTTTTGCGGGGGGTATAAAAATGGACTGCGTGCGTCGCGTGCACTTTTGTCTTTTACGGAGCAGAACTCTAAAACCGTTTACTATTTCTTCACCAAACTTGGCACATAGATAGATCTGGTGGTGTACTGGTGCCTTTTGCTAGTTTTGGAATTCTGAATAAAATATTTTGGCGTTTCCATGGCAACAAGTTTCACTTTGACTGAAATTGGTGATAGTGCTATTTTCTGGAGCAGAACTTTAAAAACCTTTCAATACTCTCCTTCCACTTTTCTATATACACACCTAAATATTTGACATAATCATAACTCGTAGACATAATCATGAAGAGTATTTTGCCATTGCGGGGGGTATTGATGACTTTGTCTTCTTGTTTAAATTTGTTTGGGTCAGAAGCTGTCTCGGGGAGCACCACAGTACAACAGGTATTGTAAATAAATCAAATAAAGTATTTGGTTCATGTTGTAGGGACGCAGACAGACGAGCTGCAGCACTTACTCAAACTCGTCGTAGAGATGAGGGAAAGAAAGGCGATGGCAATGAGCGCCCCCATCGAGACCGAGAAAGAGAACGAGAAAGAGATCGAGATAGAGAACGAGAAAGAGACCACGAGACAGTCGAAACCATAGCCGATAAAAAGAAGGAACCTGTCCTACAAGACGAGCGACCTTCTGAAGTTGTGATGTACCCTATACGAGCAACCAAAGCACAGTCAAATCCAACCAAAGGGCGGGTAGGTGGCGCCAAGTCATATCGTGAGCCACAGGCCCCCCAAAGTGGAGGTGCCCCAAGAGAGTACCTCTGACAGTGAGACTAGTATATGGGCTGCCTTTAGGCATAAGAAGAAGGTATGTTGGGCAGTGGGTGGGGGCAGCCTTAGCAGGTGCTTGTCGTGCACTCTTGGTTTGGTTTTCGTTTTCTTGTTGAGGTGAGTGTGTTAATGCAACATGGTTTAGCATGGATAGTTTGTCAAGTGGATTTTTCTTAATAGTGATATTTTCACAGAATGAATGGTCATGAACACGCCCATAGTTGCCATGACATTTTGCTGAACTTCTGAACATTTATTCACCAGGATTATTGTTACAATTCTTGAATAAATATACATTAAAGATTATTTGAGATAGGATATTTGATCGTAAAAGCTGAGTGTATGGAGGCCTCAGACTTAAAGGAAGCCATAGCCCTGGGCTCTTCACTCAATTCACTCACATATTAATGAGGCTAAGAAAGTCTTGCTCGTCAGGTGGTGATGCAATCTCATTACAGTCAGATCCTCGACTTCAACATGATACATCTCTGCGGGAACATGTGAGGATAACCAAATAATAAGAAATTCTTGGTACAAGTGTATCAGACAAAAATATTTGATTATGTTCCTTGAAAACTAATAAAAGCAAAGAAATTTTGGTTAAAACAATTATGGCAGAGGGTTGTCATTATGAAATTTGCTGTGATACATCATTGAAACCTTTCAGAGAACCAGGGTATATAGAACTCTGTTACCTGGGCAGCATGCTTCTAACACTACTGGGGCGGTGGGGTAGCTTAGTGGTTAAAGCGTTCATGTGCCGAAGACCAGGGTTCGATTCCCCACATGGGCACAATGTGTGAAGCCCATTTCTGGTGTCCCTCGCCGTGATATTGCTGGAATATTGCTAAAAGCGGCGTAAAACCTAACTCACTCACTCACTCTAACACTGCCTGACAAGCAATTGCTTTGCAGCTGAATCACGACTGTTCGTAAGATGTGTGTATTTCATTGCATGGGTGGATTTGTGTACTGGTGGTGAAGGGTGCTTTGTATTTCCATTTGAAATTCACATTGCTTGAAGCACTGGAAGTAAACATCATACTAACCTCTATCCTATAGTGTTTGTGTGTAGTTTGTTCCCATCTGTGACTGACTCTTTTTAATTTTGGGTTTACAGATTATTTTTGGAAAAATTCTGAAACTTGAATTTTTTACTAGCTTTCTGGTGTTATCATACTTTTAACATTTCTTCTGAAACTACAAGTCAGACTTTAAACATGGCCGACATGTTTTCTTTATAGTTCAGATGAGCTACAGAGCCTTACGATCTCTTTTCATAGAAGCGGAAATCTGTAAACCAATATTAAAATAGTCTCATTTCAACAATAACATACAGATTGCAAGAAAATATTTTTCGGTTTTGTTGAAAGGTTGTTGCTGTTTTGTTTCAAAGATGAGCTGTTTTAGATCCTGTGTGTTGTTTAGGTTCTGTACACACCATGTAATATATAATCCTTCACAATCTGAATGAGGTAATAGACTGGTAATAACAGGGAGTGATTATTTTCTTGGGTCTGGAAATGGTGCATCTCCTCTGACCAACTAAAATCTGCAGTAAGACTGTAAAACTTGACATGCTCTGTGGGTATTTGTCATGCTGGATACTTCTGTTTTAATCACCTAGATTAATGATTTTCCAAACTAATGAAGATGGCGTCCCATATTGTCCAGTTATGTACATGTATAATATGGACAGTAGTTTCAAGACATGTCTACGGTAACGCCACATGTTCTAGTTCCATCTGTGTATAAAGTATGTCCATATCATTAACCATATATATTTGTTAATGCTTTGTTGTCATAGATGTTAATGATGTGTTAATGAAACCTCATTAAATTAATATGTAAATCAATCTTTTTATCTTGTTTCCAGCGACAACGACACCAAAATTTACGGCGCTATGCAGAAAGCCAGCAATATCCAAACCACACTGGGCTGCTGCCTCGAGTGACGATGCACCACCCCACATACAACCCCACATACCACAGCACTTCCATGCCAGCATACAAGAACTTTGAGGGTCCAACTGGGGGGTCCATATTTCCAGCTATCAACAATGTTAATACGTTCAAACCACACAAGGTGAGGGCAAACATGTTAAAAGTAACGTAATCCGTGTAGATCCGTGTTAGGATTGGTCTTCAGCAACCCATGCTTGTACAAGGCAGCTAATGAGATAAGGTGGTCAGGCTCACTGACTTGGTTGTGACATATCATCGTTTCCCATGCTGTTGATCACTTGATTGTCTGGCTCAGACTCGAATATTAACAGTCCGTTGCCATATAGCTGAAATATAAATTCATTCTTTTGGACCAACCATCTGCAAGTTTATTCTTTAAATATACCTTATAATATCCATTTGGATTCTAGGTGGGAATCTCTAGCAGCCTATGCTTGTGAGGGACTAAATGGTCGATTGCATGTCATATTATCCCAGTGTGTGGATCAATGCATATTTTATGAGTCACTGGATTGTCTGGTCCAGACTCTATTGTCAGATAGCTGGAATACTGCTGAGTGTGGCATTAAACACTGTGTTATAACTGACTGACTGAGTTTGGTTTTACGCCGCTTTTAGCAATATTCCAGCAACATCACGGCGGGGGACACCAGAAATGGGCTTCACACATTGTGCCCATGTGGGGATTCGAACCCGGGTCTTTGGCGTGACGAGCCAACGCTTTAACCATTAGGCTACCTCACTGCCCCTGTTATAACAGAATGTGTTATAATGATGGATGTGTTTGTTTCAGGCTCAGTCCAAGTCCAAGAATCTGTTCTCCTACACGCTACCTTCAGTTGACCGACAATAGGCTCCTTCACATTCAAGGGGAGAACACTCTCATACGCTACAGCAACCTTGTCACAGACCCTTCAGTCAGGAGCACGTGGGCACACCACAATGCTGGCAACTCCAGTTCAGTCTCAATAGAATCAGTGTGACATTGAGTAACCAACAGCGACCAAGCTGACGGAGATAAGACAACTGTTATACTGAGTATATAACATATATATGATTTCAAAGAACAGTAGAAATGTCAAATGTGATATCACAGATGTCGCCCTTTTTAGTTTGTCATCCAAGATTCCCCAAACGGCTGTGATAAAAGCAGATTCAGTTACACCAGTGACTTGCAGCCGAAAGCATTCTTTGCCCATGTGCAAATGAAATAATATTGAAGTAGGAATTGATTTGTTAACAACAGGCTTGACATATGCTTTGGTGTCTTTCAGAACTATTTATTTTTTAGGATTTGCTAATGACACTGTGATACTGCTTCTCTTCTAGAGGTCATTTTATTGTCTGGCTGCACTGTAGGCACATCCATAAATAGGCGACAGTGTTGCATGCAAGTCACCATCACAAAATATTTGCCTCACACCAAAGAATTATCTACAATTATCTATTCTGTTTCGGTATTATATTTGAACACTACTTGTTTCTGTGAGAATAACCTAGAACATCTATTTCCCATCATTGGGAAAGGACAGATCTGAGGCTTGTTGTCTTGGCTTGAGGTTGATAGTGGCTTCTATAGTCCGTTTGGCTCAAAATCTGACCGATGAATTGCAATCTATCTCGAAAACTACTAAACATATAATACTCAATGAAACACTGATCATAATCAAAACATCAGACCAACTCTCTGATTTTTTTGCAGAATTTATGTCCTAAAAATAACAAACTATCATAATTTTTTTTGACAAAATTCATTATTTGTTACGAGGGAGGATTGAAAAGAGAGGAACAGCCAGGTGTATGCGGAGCAAATTGAATCATTTACCTGTGCTTTGCTGTCTCCATCCTTTCTCGCACACCTGGCTGTTCCCCTCTTTGCAGTCCTCCCTCGTAACAAAAAGTGAACTGTGTCATAATTTTAATGATAGTTTGTTAAACAACTTTTCTATTTTTAGGACATAAATTCTGCAAAGAAATCACAGAGTTGGTCTGATGTTTTGATTATGATCAGTGTTTCATTGAGAATGATATGTTTAGTAGTTTTCGAGTTAGATTGCAGTAGAGGTTACCAACCAGGTGTCATAAAGGGAGGCTGCTGTCTATACACCATGTTTGTAAGCCTTAAAGTAACAAGGGCAGTTGGGGTAGTCAGGTGGGTCAAATGTTTGCTTTGTCACACTAAAGACCATGGTTCAATTCCCCACACTCAAACCAGCAGATAGAAATGTGGACAATGAGAGGTGTAGCTTTTATCTTGGTGTTTTCTTTATACAAACAACTCTTGCAAAGACTTGTGGGTAGATGCCCTTTAACAATAGATGATGAGAAATAAACTTCTTGCAAAGACTTGTGGGTAGATGCCCTTTAGCAATAGATGATGGGAAATAAACATCTTGCAAAGACTTGTGGGTAGATGCCCTTTAGCAATAGATGATGGGAAATAAACTTCTTGCAAAGACTTGTGGGTAGATGCCCTTTAACAATAGATGATGGGAAATAAACTTCTTAAGCAAGATTATTGCAAGCATGCAAGTGTGTGTGTGACTGCTGGTTTTATAGTGCTAACCGAATGAAATACCATGGAACAGTTTAACAGTTTGAGAATTATACTGACTACGAATTAGCCATTCCATGTTTTATGTTCATTATTATGAGCAAAAGGCAGGGACTCAAACACTGACCCTCTGCTTTATGATATGAGCTTCATTTGGGGAATCAGATGCACTTTGAACGAAGGTTAGAGGGCTTGTGTTAGTCTCCCCTGTTTCGATACTACTTTCATATGACTACTTCTATACTTCTCTGTGATAGAGTTAATATTGTCCAGGATACTCTGTTGGGAGGATAAGGTTTGCATGGTTTAGTAAATGGGTGAACTATCAAGCCTTTATAAGGGCAACCATGAGCTCTGTGTGGATGAAATGGACATTACACTGGGAAAAGTTTAAAATTGTCTGAATCAGTCGTCAGGTTTTAGCTGACTGGTTATATTTCTGCAGCTAGTAGTGCTCATATCTGATGAACTAACTAAAACTTCACTCCTAAAAGTGTAGAACTAGATGCACAGACTTTCTGATAGCTTATCTAGATCAGACAAAACTTCACGCAGAATAGTCCTGTTTTAAATTAGATTATAGAGAAGTTACATGTACGTCCAAGCAGTTCCCCCACTTACTAAGTGTGTGTGAACAGAGTGACAAGTCAGTATTTTAATTACTAGGTTAATTTGGTGAATGGACCCACCAACCAAAAATGATACAATAATATATGATACTGGAAAAGGGTAATCTTGTTATTTCCGCAAGTTTCAAATTTGGCCAGCAGGGAAGGGAAGTAATCCTGTAATTTTTCATTACCAAAGCTAATATTCTGGCATATATATTGACCGTCAGGGAAGAACTTATGTGATTTTTCACAAAAAAACATCTTTTAGATTATTTCTTTTTATTTCTACCAATGAACCTAAGGTATTAGGATGACACTTATAACCAAGAATATGAAAGGATCCTCAAGTTAGTATCAACCTGATGGTGTACATGCAAGTCTGTACTAATTATAATTTTTCCTAGATGCAGTAGAAAATATTTGATGCAGGCCAGACTGTGATATATATGCATTTGGTGCTCATCCAGCCATTGTTTATGTCTGTAGATTAGGGGAGATAACTCTCATTTACTATGTTATTGCATAGTGCCAAGCCGTCCAATCTGTATTGATAACTCAGTCCAATACGATATATATGTCCTTGTCTTTTGGAGCTATAAAGTCACTTGTGTGGATTTTGTTTTATTTGTTTTTGTTGAATCTCTCTTACCTCAGATAATCACGCAAACACAGTGTTACTGTGTTTCTCAGATGGTTGTGCCTTATACTTCATGCATATTAATACATGCAGTATTGTGAGAATATTTCAGAGACTTGACACAGAAATAACCATGTTTTCAGAATGTTGTGGCTGTGTGTAAAGATATGTTTGACTTAAATTATTTCATCCCAAGTTGCAAGTTCCAGTTTTGTTACTGATCTCTGTGCTTTTGAATGCAAGCAAATAGTCAATCTCATTAAACTCCGATCATTTACTTTTATCAATACCTTTTAGCAAGAAGATGTGATGACACATCCCTAGGAAAAATGTATAGTGAACTTTCCAACTGACCAATCAGAGTCAAGTATTGAGACATATCATGATAGATAATTACACTTATTATTGTTGCTGATATTTTATACAATATAAACCACAAAACCACTAAAGGAGTACCATCAAAGGAATATTTGTGTTCTTTGTGAATATTCTCTTGTACAAATAATTTTTGGGTGGGCAAAGGAAAAATCTGAATCCTTTGCAAAAGCTGACATGTTTGGCTTGAGAACTTGGTTTCACATGAAAGTGGCTATGTCATCAGATTTTCACATAGAGCAGATATTAATGAGATTGTGAAATAACTTGAGTGTTTGGGCAGTGCTAAAACCACACTTACCATGAATGAGTCATTGTGGAAATTGTAGTAGATGCAACTTAATCTTAATGAAAAATTGATATTCTTGTAGATAATGTAAATATTTGTAATATTGGTGTGTACAGCATTATCTATGGGTTTGTGTTGTCATTAGGGACTGGTCAGTTAATCTATGGGGTGGGGAGGGATCGAAGAGACTGGCCTTAGTATGTATCATGTTTTTCATCACCCTGCTCCCTTTAAAAATGATCAGTCCCAAAATAATTTTCAAATGTATAAATTCATATTTTAAGAAATAGAAAGAGACCCATACACCCATCCTCTGTAGAGGAGCCCTGATTTCCCCAAATCTCACTGATGAAACGTGAAACATGGACATATTTTGGGTTTAAGACAGGTGTTTACATGTTTGCCTAACCTTGGCACGTCATTGGCGGATCCAGGGATGGGTGGGTGTTTCAGGGGGGTTCAATTGCTCTTTCCCCCCCTCTTGAAAATGACTAAAGACCACATTGAAGTTAAAGTTTTGAATTTGGGGGTGGGGTGGGGGGTGGTAGGTTGATCAGGAGGTTAAAAATGTTCAAACCCCTGAACACACCACACCCCCACCTTTGAAATTTCCTGGATCCGCCCATGAGGGTTGTTACAGTATGCAGTACAACTGGAATGTACTTAAGGCATACAGCTGTGAAGATATTCACTGCCCAATCACAGGGAAATACCACTTACAGTCATTACAGCCTAGGTTTGGGTTCAACTGATATTCTTGGTCAGCTAGAAGGAAAAAAGTTGAAATACAATGACGGCCAATATACAAATTGTTTGTTTTCTTATTGTTTCATTTCTCAACATTTGTATTAAGATATTAATTAAAAAGCAACATTAGGCCAGACCAATTCTTTTTCTTGTTTCACGGATCCGCCCGTCATATTTTTTCAAGAATAAGAAAAAAAATTAAAATTAATTTGGTCTGATCAAAAAAATAAAATCCTGTTTTTATTGCCAAAAATGTAAACTTACAAAAAAAAATTTGTTTAGATTGTTTTTTGCCCCATATACACTTCACAACTTGCAAAAAAGTAAAATACTTTGAGTATTTAGAAGGAACATTACTTTGACTGGTGATTTTATTTTATTTATTTTTTCCCTCCTGCCTTTAGGTTTTCTGAGGACAAAAGTCTGTATAACAAGAAATAAAATTGGTCTGGCCTTATAGCATTTTAACCTCAGTGTTGTGTAAATGCTAGCCATTTATGAAAAACACTTGACTCAATCGTTGCACAGGAATCTGTGAATGCATATGCATTTCTACACCAGTAATATTTGATGATAACACTTGTTACCTGTTGATAACATTCTAGTTGGCTTCCATGTTGCTTCATTATATTGTTGCACTGTTATGTAATATAAACAATGGTTGTATTGTTATGTAATATAAACAATGGTTGTATTGTTATGTAATATAAACAATGGTTGTATTGTTATTAAACATGCAGTAGTATAATGCTAATGGTTGGAAATGCAGACCAAATAATTAGGAATTTTATTTGTGAGTTTGGGAAAATGTACTGATCAGTGATGCAAAAGTTTCTCACGACAATTTTTTTAAAAGTTTAAGGAAAAGTGTATTTTGTGGAATAAATGTTCAGATGGTTTCACAAAGATCAAGGAATGAATTCAAACATGCTTACCAATCGTTAAATTTTAAATCATAATTCAAACATGATCAAATGATTTCATGATTAAATCTTAGTGATTACCATTCCTAGTAAGAGTTGAGGTTCCATGACCATTACATTGTTTCACATGGTACCAAGGAAATGAAGACATATCTGTTTCTTATACCTTGCATTGAAATTTTATTCTTTCACATGATAGCAAGGAAATGTAGATCTGAGGCCCCCGTCACTACGGGATTTGTATCGCTGTGACTATAGTAACTCCAATACTTTAACATCGAGTTACGCCCGTCGTAGAGATACGATAAATTTGTGAAATGGGCCCGTTTCATATACCTTGTGTCGATATGTTATTTATATCTGTTCAAGAAAGTCATTGTACATTGTTGTTTATAATTGTACAGAAAACATCACTTGTTAATATTTATTGTTGTTGAAAGCTCTGTATTCAAGTATATATATGTTAATATTGTCTGAAGGGAATGGGTGTTGAAAGATATTTGTGCCAATCATCTTATGCAGAGATGCCAACCCTATTTGTGTAATACTGGAGGTCAAAAAGTGTAATTTGGACTTAAAAAGTGTAATAGTTAAAACACTTACTTAGGAATAGGAAAGATTCTAGACAGAAATACACGTGACCAATCATTATGAAGTTCCATACATTAAAAATTGTTGGTCAGGTGACACAAAATACTTTAAATCCTTACAAGTTAATTTGAATGAGCGCAATGCTAAGAGTAAGCGATTCCTATCGGTGTAAGGCCACTTCTGAACCCCTGCACTAGTGCGTTACGAGAAAACTTCCCTGTGAAATGTTATCCACTTTATTGATTTTCGCAAAACGAGTAGAAAGCGTAATTTTTGCAGATTAAGTGTAATGGCATAATTTAATGGTCAAAATCGTAATAATTACGCCCAAAGCGTAAGGGTTGGCATCTCTGCTTATGCTATCATTATGCGAAACTATTATCCCGTTGTACACTATCAGTTTAACAATCTTTATGAAATTTGTTTATGCCTAATAATACAGACAAGAGGTAGTGCATTTTGTTGGGGGCTCTGCAGTTTGTTGCAGAATTGTGTCCCGTTATGATTGTGGGTTTGAATCCCGAGCCACCCTGCATATGTTTTCAGGCTTGTCAGCACTCTATGCATAGGGGGCTCACCAAAGTGGAGACCTGAGAAGATCCGGGTAAGAATTGGTCTTCAGCAACCCATGCTGTTCGTAAAAGGCGACTAACGGGATCGGGTGGTCACCTCTGATGTGGTTCACACGTGTCATTGTATCCCAGTTGTGTAGATTGATGCTCATGCTGTTGATCACTGGATTGTCTGGTCCAGACTCGATTATTTACAGACCGCCACCATATAGCTGTAATATTGCAGAGAGTGGTGTAAAACTAAACTCACTCAATTCAGGTTCTCCACTCATGCCGTGATGTGACCGGAATACTGTTAAAAAGCAGCATTAAACCCTACTCATTCACTAACGAAGGATAAGATCATTCTTCTAGCACTTAACAGGATATTACTGTTTTATGATAGAAGCATAACACACCTACATCTTGGAATAATGTTTTGCTTTTACCAGTGTATGAAATAAGGCCCGTCCGACTGCCCGAGATGGGCAAGATTTCTGTCGGACGGTCTAATTTTTCAGCTAGCCAGCCCGATGGAGGGGTGAAAAAAAATATTCAGATAACATGTCCAATGGCACTGTCTATTTAGTATATAAGAAGGACTGGTTAGATCTCTTCTGGGCTGGTAAGTTTTTGAAGCTACCAGCCCTAATGTCTGGCTGGGTTTTTGGCTTATTTCATACACTGCATTTACCAGTTTTTATGTAACTTCCGTACATGAAAAACTTTAGATCTTTGGCTGCAGCTAAAACTTCTAAATGCCAAACTATATCTAGTGCTAGTATGGGGGGTTGCCAATTATGAGATGTGTATTTCTAACATACAGAGCATCTCTAAAAAATCCTTTAACTTTCATACTGACATTTTTCATCTATTTCCTGTAGTCTGCAATGTCTTATAAATCAACACTCCCCAATTTTCAAATGAGTAAATTCTTGAAATTAGCAAGTCTGTGTTAACAAAGTCAGTGTGTTGTGGACATTGCTGTCAAATGCATCATCTGTTAAGAAAACAGAAGTAAACAATACAGACTATGGAGTGCATCCGAGGCATAGCTACCAGTAGTCATACACCAATACAGGCAGATCTGGTGTAGTGTTTGAGTTTCATGCATATATTTGTTACTTTAACTAGTAACCATAGCAACACATTGGTCTAATATTAGTACTCCACCTGGTTCCAAATGTGTCATGCCAGATTAACTAGAGTCATATGAAATAATTGTGTGTTTCTTAACTGTTTTGAGTAGTATATATTATTGATGCATGGGAGGTCTCAATCTTTGAAACATTGTTTCTAACTAATCACTACTGTGAGAGTCTGATAGTCCATGCATCATTTGGTATCTTCCCCACATGAAGAGGTGATGTTCTACAATGTAGTACTGAGGTCATATTTCCACATGTCTTGTGTATATGAAATCTGTATGTAATCATAGACTATCTCTTGTAATAAAATGGTTATATAGTCAATAAATCCTGTGAAATAAGTGATTGTGTATTGTCATTACATAATACAACTATACCTGGTGCTTAATACCACTATACCCTGGATGCATCCACGGCTTGGCCCGATAATTTTATTACCTCCCTTTGCTGTCTCCGCATTCTCACAGTAGCCAATCAGCGAAGCTGCCGTAACATCCGAGCCTGCCAGTGTCAACAAAGACAGCGGTCGCAGTCGCGAAGGTTTGTTCGCAGTGCCACGCAGATTTTGGGGGAAATAATACAGACAAATTGACAGATCTGAAACTTGCAAAGGGGAGGTAATAAAATTATCGGGCTAAGTCATGGATGCATCCAGGGTATAGAGGAGAGTGATCGTAACATATACCCTGGAGATTATCGAGGATGTTTAATGCTGTATCAGCAATATTCCAGCCATACAAAGACTGACTGATATCATCCACTAGGGATAAGGTGAGTTAACGATTCAATGAAGTTGTCAAGTTTGTCGAGTTGACCAAACAATTTTGGTGCCTCTTATGACCTCCACAAATTACTAGGGTACAGACAAACAGCTTAGCAGACAGAACACACACAACATCTTGTACACAAACAATATCTGATTTGTATGGAAACACAAAATCAGAATAATTGTTTATTTATTATCCATAAATCATGGTAAATAAACAGCAAAGCAGAAATACTATTCAGACACTGATTTCTGTTGTCTCTTTCTTTGTGATTAATTAGGCATTAAACATTTCACCAATCACCTAAGGAAACAATTGGATATTTAGTACCACATTCAACATAACAGTAAACTCACAACTTTCTCAAAAATAATTAATCAGTATAAAATTATATTTCAACAAAGAGATCAGCATGAAGATCACAGAAAAGTCACACGTCAATTGAGACAAATGGGGCTCCCAACCTCATCCCTTGAATCCTATTTAAATTTTCACTTGAGTCTCAGTGCTCTCCCGGAATATAAAATACCATTTAAATTTTCACTCGAGTATCAGTGCTCTCCTGGAATACCAAATATCATTTAAGTTTTCACGAGAGTCTCAATGCTCTCCCTTGAATACCAAATACCATTTAATTTTTTACTCAAGTCTCACTGCTTTCCCCTTAATCCCAAATACCATTTTAATTTCTACTTTAGTAGCATAGCAGGCACGGAACAGCAGATTTGCTGAAACATGGTTTGTGCAATAACTTGAGGCAAACACAGTCATAAAGGCACAAGGCAATTACACCATATGAAATAACAAAAATAGGGTTCCAATTAAAGACAGGTCTTGGTATATTTTTGGTATTACATTATCACAATGTTTCAGTTTCTGAACCTAACTGCAGGCAGTCTGGTACCAAATATTACCAATAGATCGCTATTTAGGGACCAGTCATTTATTACAGGGGTGGGTAGGTCATATATACTACCCATCAAATGTTTAGACTCACTTAAAGCATTCACTATATGTTATGTATATATATATGTGGTTACATCGAAGATGAATTTCTCCCGTAACTTGGGGAACCAACTGCAAACCTTATGCAGGTGAATTGCATGAGGATCATGCATCAAATTGCTGAAAAGCATGTGCAAATATTGTGCATGTGAACAGCTGCGTTTTGGTGTAAAGTTTTGTTAAGAATTCGCCAATTTTCACTGAGTTTCATCATTTATTGAACTCATGACAATAATCTTTTCAACGTTATGAATTTGTTTTACAATACATCAGTTCATGTGTAAACAGTACCATTAAACAGTATGGAATATTTTTGCAAAATCTAGTTTAGAACAGTTGACTGAAGAAAGTGGCTACATTTACACTAGTGAGTCTAAACTATTGATGGGTAGTATATGTTTATATCTGAAATTTATTAACATCCTTTGATGTCATCTTTCCCATATATGTGTATTATTTTTCACAACCCTCTATAAACTGATCCTCCCCTGATTTCCTGGACTCCACAACTCTCCCCCCCCCCATAATAAATGAATGGCCCCCTTATGTGTAGAGTAACAATGCCATCAGCAGAAAATACCCAGTTTAATTTTAAGGGTGCAAAATCAGATAAACAAATACATCTTTTGTAATGTTTATAAAAAATCTCACAAATAATGGGTTGACTGCATTATTTGATATTAGGCAGTCCCGAGCAGTCCATCTGCTAAAACATTGACTCAACAAAATCTATTGCGAAAATAATTCTCTGTATAAAAGTGATGCTACACAAAACCTGCTCCAGCCCAGTCAGTATCATAATGGTTCCACTGCTATGTGTGACATAACCTTAATACCCCTGGCAGAGAAGGCAGTCTGGCTGTATGGAGCCATTAAACCTCTTTCGTACTGTTTAACACAGCCTGAAATATTTCTCTAAAAGTTCATAATTAATGACAATGGGAGGGGGAGGAAGAGGAGGAGAGAGAAATGATGATTTTATGGGGGATCACCCATATTGTTCTGGGGAGGTAAGGGGGTCAGCAATTTTGTACATAAAAATATTTAAAAGTTATACTTAAATATTATGGGAAAGGGGAGGGGGGGTTCCATTGATTTTGTACATGATATGCAGGGGGGTCACTTACTTTGTACATAATTGGGGGTGGGGAGAAATCATTCACATTGTACATACTTCTCGATAGAAATTATCATCAACCACTAACAGTAACCAGTAACAAGCCAAAGTAAACAAACAATAATCTGATCTTGCACACTTGAAGTAAACATACAACACCCAGATATTATAATACTGTTAACACACTGTTTGTGTAATCGCCTAGGACATAATGCATGGCAAGTATTTTACAAGATACAGTTTTTATTTACAAATATTGCATGAAATAGATGTAAGTTTTCATCATTATGAATATATATACAATAAGGCAACAGTTGTATCACATGACTTAATACTTCAATCAAAAAACATGTCTGTGGGGTTGTTCTATAAAATTTCACTAGGAAACGAGAAAAGGCTGCAAGGCAATTATTAGTGACTCACATAAATATCATTTTAATGGACACAGGATCAGATATAGTTTTTCTAGAAATATAAAGGTTTCATAAAATTTACTTCTTTGGCCTGTGAAGGCATTAAGTTTACTGTTTTACTGTTTCGTCTAAAATTACCAGAGGCAGTAAATTACACAGCTCAGAAATTACAGGTTCAAAATATATATATTTTCAAATGATTCTGTGAGTGAGTGACTCTGCTTTAACACTGCTATTGCCAGTATTATCTAGTTATATCATGATGTGTCAGTAATAATGTGTTAGGAAAACCTGAGTTGATGCAGTTATCAAACATTTACCACTTTGGTGGTAGCCTAGAGCACATATATGGTGTTGACAAACCTAGAAATTAAGCTAAATACATGTGGCAAATTGGTATTAGAACCACCACAAACATGTCTGTCCAGGGGAGGCAACTCTGTAAAGTGAAGTGAGGTGGCTAAGACAACTGGATTTCCGAAGAAATATTTACTGACATAGGATGCATGACTGTGCAGCTTGTACCACTTGTAGCAATATCACAGCAATATCATTATTTGAGGACATCAGAAAAACGCTTCAAATACTGTACACATGTGGGGATTTATACCCAGGCTTTCAGCATGACAAGTGAACGCATTACCCACTGGGCTACTCCACAGACTCCATACATCATGTGAAGGTCAGCTCTTACTTATTTAGTATGAGAATTGTGCTTCACCTTTTGTCCTTGACCAGAAAAAAGGATGTATGAAGAGGTTTTGTTGATTTGATTTCGCTTGTCAAATTGATTTGTAATGAAGAATCTTGGGAACATGTAGATTCTGGAATAATCAACTTCCTGAATCAACAGATTTGAATGATTTCTTCGACTTATACCTTGCTATGGTTCATATACAATCCTCTGAAATTTTACAGCAATGACCAATAGTTGTATCAGGTTTACTTGTTTAAATGCGCATAAGAATGGACGGTGAATTCTGGCACAAGAATCAGCTGCAAAAACAATACCATGACGTGATCCTGACAGTTTAATAAATCTCAACAACACTTTTGTTTACAATTCCTGACTCACTCCTCCAAGCCACCAAACAGTTCCACTTTTTTGATATACATTGCTTTTGAATGGCATCTCAAAATCATCAAAGTCGACCTCCCATCCGAACCTGTCCCGCTTGACTTCCTTCTGTTCGATGAGGTTGCGAGTGGTGGGTTGTTTGGTCCAAGCTTTGAGTGGGGTGTAAGTGATGTCCTCCCTCTCCTCCATGCCACCCGCCAACGCCGATGCTGCACGCAGGATGGAGCCTTTTCGCTGGTGCGGGATGCCTTCGTCGTGCGTGCGGTGCACTGGAGGCTGGGAACACAAAAGTGATGTTAATACGTATCTATAAAAATATTACTGCTTGTAATTTCTAATCATGACACTGTGTTGGGTTAGACTGTTCAGCTTCTTTTCTGTTATTTTAAGCTACAGCTGACAATTTTCCACTTGAACTGAACCTTTATTTACACTCCAGACTCGTTCTGCGGCATTAGAGGTACATATTTACATCATAATTATGTACAACATATATACATGTATGATACCAAAACGTAATGTATACATATGGGTTGGTTGCAAGAATAAACTATGTGTGTACAAGCATTTAACCAGTTAAATGAATAACTCATACATTGAATACACAATGCCAAATATGTAATCTCAAATATAACATGTTATAAGTCATACTTTTTTGTTTTTGGGGGCATTGATTAAAATCAAGACGCTATTTGTTTTGTAAAATATTGCTAATTTCCTACTCGTTCCTAGTTTATTGAAGCGAAAAAGTTGGTTCATTTTGTGCATATTTGGTTTCTACAGTAATAGTTGTTGATATATATTTTACTTTTCATCACAGCGATCTATAAATAATTAAATCCAGTCACTGAAAGCATGAGCAAATATCCATGTCACTGGAGCAGTGTGACACACAAGAAATCACAGAGCTAACCACTCACTCAATCTAGTTGAATCTTAAGTGAGTGAGTGAGTTTATTTTTATGCCACTTTTAGCAATATTCCAGCAATATCACGGTGGGGGACACCAAAAATGAGCTTAACACATTATACCCATGTGGGGAATTGAACCTTGGTCTTCACATGATGAGCGAATGCTTTAACTACTAGGCTACCCAACTGCCCCTGAATCTTAAACCAAACATAGGTTACAGTTGCTAAAATCTAGCCATGAACACTGCAGAGAGTATTTCTTGCAGAGCTTATATATATATCAATATGAATTTGTTTGTTTTGGAGGACTGATGTATAACAATGAAATACAACATTGAAATACCTATTTTAGGTGATCAAAACACCACATGTATCATCATATATACCACATCCCAATCTGATGTTCTAACTATTTAAGCCTGACTTGACAGTACCAATATCACTTCCAAATCAGAAGATGGTACAAAAAGAATTATCACAAGACTGACTGAGTATGGTTTTATGCCGCTTGTAGCAATATTCCGGCAATATCATGGTAAGCAACATCAGAAATGGGCTTCACACATTGTACCCATGTACAGAACCAAACCCGGGTCTTTCGGGTGACAAGCTGATGCCTTAACCATGAGGCTACCGCCCTATTATCACAACACAGTCATGTGGGACATACATAATGAAGCAAGACTTTCTCAACCTACTGGAAAGAAGTGAAACAACAACTGATTTGTCTCTCATGCCATGATACATTGAGTACAGAAACAAGAAAGAATCATGTGTTATTCAACTTATTTTCAGTGGTATATATAAACCTAACTTTATCCAAACCAACAATAAACTGTTTAAGTGCCTTAGCAACGTTGGACATTATATATGTGCCAAGGAAATAGAACAACATTACTTGTTAAAGTAAACAACATCACATATTCCACATAGAAACAGACGTTCAGCACGTGTGACTAAAGAATTTTACCGTAAACACAAATGTTACAAAGAATTATGATTGTAATGTGTACTCCCCGATATCGACACAGGCAGTTAGGGTTCACAGAGCTTCTATAAGACAGTCAGTTTGTACCGTCACACATATTACAGGCACAGCACACAGTTAATGATGAAGTAAAGGCACCAGACATGTATACAACACGATACAATATTCAGCCACAATAAGTCATCCCACCCTTGTTAACACAGAATATAGAATCTCCATTCTGTAATGATAAATACTATCTGTCAGCTACCATGACTCTGATACAAAAATACATGATGTTGAAATGGCCATCCAAGGAAATTAAACTCTAGAAAGGTGAAATTATTTTTTGCAAAGTTATTGACAAGGAAGATCGAAATGGTGGCTGCACTTCCAAAATGTTATCAATATTGGCAAGGACGTCCAGTGTATTTATCATATCAGATATTGAGATAGAATACTTGACAATCAAAGATGGTATCCTCTATGGTGAGTTTATTGTGATGCGAGTGTTTCACCAGCTCAAAGATTAAATGATAATTTCTTTCCTTAGCTGAAGATGCTAGAGTCATTGATGCTTATCAACAGAAAATAAACACAAGAAAGGCATTAGGTCACAATTTTCAAACACACATATGCGGAAGACTTTCCAGACCAATACCACAGAGCATATAGAGCCAGGTCTATGTTTGGTTGTTGTTTAACGCTGCACTCAGCAATATTCCAGCTATATAGGAGCAGTCTGTAAATAATCGAGTCTGAACCAGACAATCCAGTGATCAACAGCATAAGCACCGATCTATGTAATTTGGATTCAATGACATCTGCCAATCAAGTCAGCGAGCCTGACCTCCCAATCCCATTAGTTGTCTCTTACAACAAGCATGTGTCTGTGACAGGACTAACTGGATCACCCATATAATTATATAATGCTCACTGTGTTGGAGGTTGTATCTTGCATGAGTCAGTCATATGTTGCTCGTAATACAAATAATAATTGATTCTCCTCTCTTCTGCTCACATCTGCTTTTGTTTTGAGATATAGAATATGGCGTATTTACTTATATACCATACTGCTAGCTGTCGCACATTGTGTTGATATCTGCTATATAACATGTTGCTAGCAGTTGTATACAATGTTGCTACCTGTTATATACAATGTTGCTTTCAGATCTATACAATGTTGTTACCCAATATATATACAATGTTGCCATGAGATAAGATATATATGTTGCCATCTGGTATATACCATGCTGTTGTTATATATCATCTTGCTCTCAGATATATACAATGTTACTATCTAATATATAATGTTGCCATCAGATATATACTATGTTGCCATCTGGTATATACAATTCTGCTGTTATATATCATGTTGCTCTCAGGTTTAAAAAAATGTTGCTATTAGATATATACAGTACAGTGCTATATACCATGTCAGTAAAAGATGTAAACCCATGTTACAAAGAGAGGAACACCATATTGCTATAACCTATATAGCATGTTGATAACATATGTAAACCATGCAGTTATCACATGTAAACCAGTTTACTGTCAACTGCCTATGTATTAGTAAAGCCAGCACTGCAGATCTTACACACAGTTGTCAGTGATAATGAAGAAAACACCATTCTACACATGCATGTGTCAAACACTCAACTTGGTAACCTACCCATTCTAAAAAGTTGGATATGTACAAGATTTTTTCTCCAAAAGGGTGAAATTAGATAATTCTCAGATTAGGGGAGCCAAGCACTCATAGATTACCACGCATCATCACCTGTCAGTCATCAAAATCGAGGTCCTCCATGTCAATATCATCGAGATCTACCTCAACTGCATCATCCACCTTAGGCTGACAACATAAACAGTTCAACAGTTGATCATATGTACCTGGCTGTTTCACCACCTGCACTACCCATACCACAGAGATATTCCTATTTCATGACACATATAACTGGCATCTGAAGGATACTGTGAAACCATATTAATCCAGTTTTAAAAGTGGTTACAGATTTCTGGCCAAAGAATTCAGGCTGGTAGGATGAAAAAATAATTTATACAATTTTCAAATATTTCTTCAATATGACATTTCTATTTTGAAAAGGAAAAAATAGGGGCCAGGCGTTTCTAAGATATTGATGATGAAAGCAAAGTCTTTTTAAACATTTTACTTATTTCTGATAGCCACACACACACACACACACCACCCCCCCACCCCCACCCCCAAAAAAAAGAAAATATAAAAAAAATCATTTACTTTTTTTCACATTTCAATTTTTGTAGCTGGCCAATACAGAAACCAAGTTTTACAAATGTCAGGCCTAACATAATTTCACTGTATCAAGACAGATATTGTCAGCAGGATCTGTATCCTTCTCTTATATTTAGATGAATACAATGACATGATGTTCAAATACTTCTCATACTGTGTGTTTTCCCCATTAATCTGACAATGTGTGTAAAATCTGCAAATACAATGTCATAAGCATTAATCTGAAAGCAACATTTAAAGCATACATATCTATTAATGGATGATTCATGCTTATATCTACAATTATTACCTTGACATGTCTAACAGTATCCTGAATATGCTGTATAGAACAAACAATACAAGTCAGAACACAAGTGAGTGAGTTGGGTTTACTGGTGCTTTAGACACTATTTCATTTATACACAGCGTGTCATCTTGAAGTGGGAGGACAGCTTGATGTGATGCAGGTTCTAAACATTTTTCACAAAGACAGGTATGATGCTGACAAACCAAGAATCATACAGATGGCATAATCTGGGATTTGCACCCAAAATCACTGGATTCTGACCTGACAAAGGGACACAACTCTGCAGAGTGAATTAAAGCACTTTAGACAACTATGTTACCTCGCCCCAAGAACAGGACAAAATTGGCTTATACATCTGAATTTAAACACTCTACCTGTTTATATTGATCATTCGACGTTATGCAATAGAAATGATAAAATACACATAAACAGACAGGTAAATATATATCTACCAGTACCATGACTTTCTAAACTCTGACAACAGGTAAATATATTAGTTATTCAATCACTTCTATACAGGTTATCCCTGCTCCCTCAACCAAAGGGAATACTTATTTGTGGTGTATACAAGTGTTATGTGTATTTAGTCTACATAAGCAGGAGCCCAGTTTGCAGGGAGAGGCTTGGAGAAAGCATACAGCTAGCCTAGGAGTGTGTGTAACTTACAGCAGTGCTACTGACTGGTTATAGCATGGCCCTACAGCAGAGGAACAACTGTCAGTGCTTCAGTTTCAGCAAGTAGAGATTACACTATACAATATAATGTTTGGAGTTGGACAGGAATGAGGCAGGTTGTACTTTCCAGTAATAACCAAAGCAATAAATCAAAATTAAGATGCACCTTGTAAATATACTTTAGTAGACATAAAGAGCTATTTTACAGATGATGCCACAACTACAAATACAGTTTGAAAATGAATATTTGTCATAATTAATTTAAACATTCTAAATTAAAGTTCCTCTTAAATAATTAATTTCAAAACATTATAGGCACTATCAAAGCCGTTAATATGAAATATATGGCTAAAATAATCAAACGAAATTACAAGATATTTCTATTGTCACAATACTGAAAACAAGCCTACTGTACACTACAGCATAGGGATCATGCACACAATAGAACATAACTTACCAAAGGCGAGCCAGTTTCTTTTCCCTCCCCAGGGGCTGATGAGGGTCTCTTAGCCTTGGGTCCCCCACTCTTCTTGGCCCCCTTCTTCTTCTTGTCCCCTGGGGGTGGCATGGAGTCCCACTTCTTCTGTACCACATCCAGACAGCGGGATCAGCCCAGGACTGAGCAATGTCCATCGGGTTGTGACCTACATAATCAGTGATACAAAATAATACAATGACACTAACCATGTATACTGTAATGCCTAAAAAAAACCCCAGCATTATCACTATATCCCCTACTAAACCATGTATACACAGTATGTCCTAAAGGACAAGAAAAGGGCATTATCACAATCCCACGCCATGGGGCACATTAGAATGGTGAGGTGAGGTGAGGTGAGGTGAAATTGGGTTATACGTCGTGCTTGAGAATATTTCGCTCATATGACGAGGTGCATGCATGTGTATGTGTATGTGCGACTGCTTGTACTAGCCCAGACTTAAGCTGGTTTTATAGTGCTAGCCCACTGAGATACCACGCCGCAGTGTAGCATGAATACCCCACTCAGACACATTATACTGACTCCGAGCCGACCAGTCCTTGTTGTACCCATTAATGCCAAGCGCCAGGCAGGGACCAACAAGTACCATATTTTAATGTCTTTTGGTATGACGCGGTCGGGGATCGAACCCGCGACCTTCCGCTCTCCGGGCGGACGCTCTAACCACACCACGGAGGCGGTAATTGAACGGTACATATATAAAAAACTGAATGATATGGTCATTGTTAACTATAAAAACAGGCATCATCTTAAACCTTAAGAAAAGATAGGCTCTCTGGTCACTTTATGTTGTCAAAAACATTATTATATATGAAATAAATACATAAAAAAGGCTCCTTTTCTGGATAAAATAACTTTATAATTTGTGGCAACAATTTTCAAACTCAGTTTAGGGTAATTTCACGTAACTTCAGAAGTCAATTGTTAGCCATAGTAGTGTCTGAGTAGATGTGATGCAGTTAGCACAAAGTTGGAAACCATCGAGCAAAGGCCAAAACTTTACAAAATTCAGTTTTGGGACTAAATTTAGATCATGACCAAAAACATCAGTTTATCGAATTTCTAACATAAAATGTTTAGAAAAACTAGTCTCGATTTCACAGTGTTTGAACTAAGAAGAAAAGCATCGAGCAAGGGCCAATGAACTTCCACTTAGTCTTATTCAGTTTTTCAGTTATTCACTTTGCTTCAAAAGGAAGACAGTCGCTGGAATGAAAGAGTCCTCTGGGAGGCAACAACTGACCTTTCCTGTTCTCGGTCTGCACCTTGGCTCCCTTGTCTATCAGCTTCTGGACAACACCGTCCCGTGAGCTCTCGATGGCCCGGGTCAGGGGAGTGCCCCCACCCATGGTTGAGGCATCAATCTCCGCACCATGGTCCAACAACAAGTCCACAACGTCCAGCTGGCCAGAGTGGCAGGCATGATGAAGTGGAGTCCACTTGAAGTTGTCCCGGGCGTTCACACTCGCTCTAAAGAAAAGAAATGGAACACGTTACTGACCATAGGCGGATCCAGAAGGGGGTGCAGGGGTGTGCACACCCCTTTAGTGCTGAAAGTTTGTTAAATGACCATTGAAACTCGGGTGAAAATGTAGTGTGCACCCCTCCTTTTCTCAATTGTGTGCACCCCTCCTTTCTCAAAAAGCTGTATCCGCCCCTTCTGACATGAGGCATATTTTGCACATGCATGTATCATGGGACCCTCTATTATCGCGGTAGTTAATGTTGTCGCCATCGGGATTATGAACGGCTACTGACATTTAGCATTTTTTTTATATTTTCAGTTGACTGATGTATAATCTTTGTTTCTTTCACAAATAATGTGACACATATCGCGAACTCGCTTAATATCACCATTGCGGCAATTTAGTAATATCATCATGTTTTAACCCAAACATCTGAAACTTCTATTCATTTGGATACAAGGTAACAATAACGCTACAAAATGATGTGTTTCCGCCTTAAAACGCACTATACAAGTTGCTGCCGGTGTAGAGTGAAGTTGCATAATACGTCACTTCCTGTTATATTTGTAGCACGGAAAATAATGAAAATGACCTTATAGTTGTCGCAGGATTACTCTTGACGAAGTAAGTTTTGATTCATGCTAGATGTAATGGCAGTAGGGGTCATACTAGTTTCAAAATGTTCCAGAACTTACTGAAAAGATGAATGCTTTAATATTTCTACGATTAGACATGACATTCCAATGAAATAAATGACTTTTTCAAGAGCGATGAATATATTTGATGTAATTTGCATATGTAAACAGCCGATGCGGGCCGTGGTGTGTCTGCTTTCCCGATGTTTTCGCGTGCCATGATAATAGAGAGCCCGCGATAATAGAGAGTCCCAGTATAACGTGGATGTATATATACTGAGAGAAACAAATAAAGGAACACAGGAAAATTTTCATATTACTGTCATGCCATGACATATGACAAAACAGATTATCTTCAGTAATGTGAAAGAACTGTGTGGTTGTATAGATCCTAAATGAAGAATCAATCTTTGATCTGACCACTAACATGAAAATGCTGCTTCTCCACAACATACCCATTCTCTATGAGGAACCTGGCCATGTCGATGAGGCCACCCTGGCACGCCACCATCAGCGGCGTCTTGTAATACTTGTCCCTCGTGTCCACCGGGATACCTTTCGAAATTGCAGTCTTCAACGAATCAAAATCCCTCATCTTGGTTGCCTCGGTGATGTTGAGATACGTCTTGTCTGGTTGTTTCAAGTACCAGGCTGAATCATCCTGGAGAGGATGGGTAGGTGGGTTGTCGCGGTCGAACCGCCCTGTGTCCGTGAAGTGTATGTGTCTGGGAATGAACATCTCGGGCGGTCCTCCCCTGAACGTCCTCGGCCCGTCCTCCTGCACACAGATGGGCATGACCAGCTTGAACTTGCCCTTCTTCTTGCCCCTTCTTCCCCTCCTTTCTTCTTTCTTTTTCTTCTTCCCTTCAAATGCACTCATCAAATAATTTTTATTGACCCATTTTTTGGCAGCAAAGAAGTCATTATAGTCCACCTTTCCGTCACGAGCTTTGTCATGAATCGTCACAATTTTTCTAAGTTCATCTTCGTCTGCTGGTGCCTTCAACCCAACGATTGTATCAACGACATCGTCCTTTGGTATAGTCCCCACCTCGTCAGGGTCGTATTTCCTGAACATATCCCCCAGTGTTTTCTGTCTTTCATAAACCCAGTCATACAATGCGATTATCCAAGGGTCATTGTTCTTGCCGCTCTTCCCAAAGGACTTTTCCGCCTTTCTACATTCCTTCAATGCTTCTTTGTGGCCTTCATCCTTTGCAATGACTTTTGGTGTAAGGCCTTCATTGTTCTTTGGTTTAGGGTTGCAACCTGTAAAAATAATTGTGTTAAATGCTGCTCTGAACAGTATTCAAATTATATCACAGTGTGGAAATAAGTGATGCAGGTCTCGGTCATGTTCACCACTTTGACCCGGAAGTCAAAAACCAGACAATCCAGGGATCAACAGCATGAGCATCGTTCCCAATTGGCGCAGATCGATGCTCATGCTGATGATCACTTGGGAACCAGACTTGATGGCATGTGAGTCAATGAAACAAAACTCACTCACTCACAGAGGCTTGCCCAAGACCACCAACTTTCAGCACATGAAATGAGTGATACTGATTTCCCTTGTGGGTGAGTGTGTGAGTGAAAAAGTTATGTTGCAGCTTACATAGAAGCCAAGGCCTCACACCTAAGACAAGCATGGGTTACTGATCAACAGGAGCATTCATTCTGTTACCAGCGGACTTTCACGCATAGGTCTCAGGATAGGATAGCTTTTGTTTGATGATGTGAACATTTAGGTCATATAATTGGGATAGCATGGCACACAAAACTAGAAAGGTCCCAGCTCACCTGAGATCACTAGATATTATGTTCTTCTCATGTCAGTATTAATCAACTCTTGTTGCATGCAGTGGATACAAATGTCTTACCAGCCATGTTTATAAAGGAAACACTTATAATCAACTGATGGATATAACTGGCCACATGCTGTATTTTCACAGAACAAACAGTGGTAATAACAAACAAACATTAATAGTCCTTTAAAGTTTGTTATAACTGTAGTTATTTTGGAACCTTATTTCAGTCATGCCAATAACTGGGTGATATCAGTAAACTGAAAGGAAGAACTTTGATTTTAAAATAGCAGTTTTCTTCCTCAACATCCTTTGGTGTCAGGCAGTAATATTGCTTTAAATTTTAGAAGCATACAATGTTTATTTGTAAGTTGAACACCAATCCCAGCATTATTGCAGCTGTTTGACAAGGGCATGGAAATGATAAAGACTGTGTCTGACATACTAGTGCTAGAGTCATCCCTACAGTATGTTCAAACAAGGACATGTACAAGTTCATGTACATGTACCAGTTTCTGCAATACCCAAGGGACACTTTGGCCAATATTAGTGTGGCATGATTCCATCAAAACTTTCTAATACAAGATGTCCGCATAACCAACAGTGTGTGATACCATACAAGCAGACGGTCCTGAATGTGTGATATAAGCCTGCTCCTTCTTGTGATATCTGTGAGAAACTTGCAAGCATGCCGTCCTGAATACAAGATGTCTGCATTGGCCAACAGTGATACATGTGGATCAGGTTGTTTCCCTCGGCGCTCGCTGAATGTGTTGAACTCCCTCCTTCGCACCTCTCTGTGCCATACAGGCCAGCACTTGCCGCGGACCGCCAGTGGCTGCCAATGTGCAGCGCGTGGTTTGAACTCCGGATGTCAAATGCCATTGACCAGTCCTCCACCCAATGCCAGTATCGCTTCCTGACAACCTTCACACTTCCTGCACTGGATGCTGCCATCAATATGTAATTTTTAGAGTAAAATTGATATTTTATACTTATCCTGACTCATGCTCTTTTGCTTGTCTTCTTCTTCTTAAGTAACATAGTGGAACACTTGTATCTCCCTAATTGAAGCTCCCTTCAATGTAAAATCACTAATTAGTACTCAGCACGAAGCTACCTCCCTTCCACAAGCTGAACGAGGGCTTCACCTCCACCCATGTGCCTCACTCTCTCCTCATATACTGAGCCCAACATTTGAATTTACAGGGAAATCCAAAGTGTTATGTGGGAGGATGGGAGGGCTTACCTCATGAGTCAGGATAAGTATAAAATATCAATTTTACTCTAAAAATTACATATTTTCCTTATCCTGACTCATGCTCTTTTGCTTGTAGACTCCTAATGAAAGGGAGGTGGGAAAAATATAATACTTTGGATTTTAATAATTAGTGATTTGAACTGTGATGATTGTAATAACCCCATGGGAACTTCATAAAGGTACTGAACTGATGAATTCCTGCTGCTAACTTATCAGCTGCCATATAAAGGTTATTACAAAGTACTTATTATGATAAAGTATATATAACATTAATACAATGCTTAAGACTAATAGACTTAAGCTTGTTAATATGCTAGTATAAACTCCTTAGAGTTTGTTAGCTAAAATACTTTTAAGATATAAACATAGTACTAAGCTTAAGATATGATTAAACTTAAGCTAATTATATAATAGCAAAACTCTTTAGAGTTTGTTAGTTAATATACTTATATGATATATATATAATGCTGAGCTTTAGATATGAATAAGCTTTAGCTACATATATAATAGCAAAACTCTGTAGAGTTTGTTAGCTAATATATTTTACAATATGAGTATAGTACTGTGCTTAAGATATAATTAACTTAAGCTACATATATAATAGCCAAAACTCTGTAGAGTTTATTAGCTTATAGATTAATAATGTAACCATAGTACTAAGCTTAAGATAAGATTAGACTTAAGCTAAATGTATATAGCAAAAAAAAAAAAAACTCCTTAGAGTTTATTAACTAATATACTTTTATGTTATAACCATAGTACTGAGCTTAAGATATAATTAAACTTAAGCTATATATATAATAGCAAAACTCCGTGGAGTTTTGTTAGCTAATACATTTTATAATGTAACCATACTGCTTAAGATATGATGAAACTTAAGCTAATTGTATAATAGCAAAACCCTTTAGAGTTTGTTAGCTAAAATACTTATATGATATAAACCTAGTATTGAGTTTATGAAGGAAAACTTAAGCTACATATATAATAGCAAAACTCCGTGAGAGTTTGTTAGCTAATATACTTATATGATAAAAACATAGTATTGAGCTTAAGATTTGAAGGAAACTTAAGCTACATATATAATAGCAAAAAAAACTCCGTGAGAGTTTGTTAGCTAATACAAGTTATAATGTAACCATAAAGCTTAAATTATGATGAAACTTAAGCCAAATATATAATAGCAAAAACTCTTTAGAGTTTTGATAGCTAAAATACCTATATGATATAAACATAGTACTGCTTTTAAGATATGAATAAGCTTAAGTTACATATAGCAAAAACTCCGTGAGAGTTTGTTAGCTAATACATGTTATAATGTAACCATATTGCTTAAGATATGATGAGACTTAAGCCAAATAGCAAAAACTCTTTAGAGTTTGTTAGCTAATATACTTATATGATATAAACATAGTACTGAGCTTAAGATATGAATAAGCTTAAGCTACCTATATAAAAGCCCAAACTCTGTAGAGTTTGTTAGCTTATATATTTTACAATCTGAGTATAGTACTATGCTTAAGATATAATTAAGTTAAGGTAAATATATAATAACCAACTCTGTAGAGTTGTTAACTTATATATTGTATGATGTAATAATCATAGTACTGTGATGATAAAAAGAACTTAAGCAAATTATATATAGCATGTAGCTATTTAGTACTGTTATAAGATAAGTAGAAATCTGTGAGATTGACTTATCTTCTCCGAGGAACTGTCAACTGTAGTGCGAGGACCATGGGATCGAATTGGTGGATACCTGAGACGTCCTCGGTGATGATATCTCTCAGATAATGGTTGGCAACCACCATATCGGATCTCCAGAAAATAAACCCTCCATTATTTCAAATAACATTGTGTAGATCAATGCAGAAGTTAGCTTCTAATATCATGAGTATTAAAAGCTCATGGAGGGTCGGATTGGGTCCATCCGCCTTGTATGCACGTAGTATGACAGTTCTGATCCAAACGGAGATATAGTACGCGAGATTTCATTCTGCGAAGTTGATGATAGAGGAAATAATCTGTTGTATTATTCCCTTCTGTTTGGTTCGGTGGAGATAAATTTACAGTGCTCTTGCTGGCCATCGTGATAGAATCATCATATCATAAAGTCCAAGTATGTCATCCAGGCGTTGTTCATAAACCTCACTTGTGAGGTGTTGGAGCACTATATTCAGATCCTCGTTGGAGGGTGAAACTTCCGCTTTAATTCTTCAATCAGAAAGTTTAAGTAGGTTTACTAACCATCTAGTTGTGTTAGTAGCTTGATTATGAAATTCAGCTGTAGTCTGAGACGCTGTGGATTTAGATCCACTTGTATCCCGGCCGCCTAGGTTATTCGCTGCGTAAGTCCTTTGACGATGTAGGTGCACAACCAGGTGTGTCTGTCCTCGCTGAAGTTTATGTAAAATTGCCTGACTGCCGCGGCCTCGCCCTAACTTGACAGGGGAGGTCTCTAACCTGAAGAAAGCAGCCCAATCATGAAGGTTCAGATTAACTGGACTGTAAGGAGGCTTGCTCGCTCACTGAAATATAGTTGTCACTTGTAACGTAAGTGTTGACCTGTGAAGAAAGATCGACCTCTCATGTAGGTCGCTGTCCAACGCGTCCAATCAGAACAAGGCATTTTGATTCTGTAGAATACCCGCTGTGATGTCACCGTGTAGCAGGAAAAACCTTGTATAAAATGTTGCCGCCGCTGATATTAGCATAATCGCCGGTCTTCACCGTAGCTTCCCCGGTTACCCGAAAGTGACCACGCAGTTTCGAGGGTTAAAGGTAAACGCTGAAACCTCCGCCAAATACCTCGCTTCTGTAATATTAATGCTGGGTAGGTTATTTTCCTGGCTGTCGAAAGTAACTTCAGTTTTGAATATAATTCGACTTTCTTATATAAAGGTACAATAAACTTGCAAGTTGTCAGCTTGTAGACTGTATACATGAATGTATCGCCATAATTGTAGAATTAAAGCTGAACTTGTTGTACATATTTCTTCTCAGAAACTTTGACGATTATGAGTTATACTCGCTGTAACAAGGCTGCTGTTCAATTTCGATATTGAATTGTCTGCAGATCTGGCGAATGGTCACGCATGTAGATACTCAGATCGAAGTCCGGGATTGCATATTCTAGCAATCTATACGAAAGGTTGATTTCTGTGAAGATCTATGCAACGCCGCTGATTAATTAATATAGCGACGCTTGTGTTGTAAATAGCCTGTGCAATTGTCTTCGCAGAGGCTTATAGATCGCATATGGCATACAGTTGATAGACAACTTATGCGATGTCTTGAACGGACTGACGAAAGTAGCTATATATGACGAAAGTGGCTAATATATGGAGACCTTGGAGGAGAATTCCTCGGTGGACGCCGGAGATTTCGCTAAGCTCTCGGCATCCAATCTAGATTTCCTGTGTGAGGTAGACTTGAGTTACTTAGCCTTCGCGACCTTCGCTGGCTGGTATTGAGTCAGAGCCCCATCAGTATATATATAATATATGAGCTTTGCTTCGCGAACGACCTCTGTGTTCAACAGGAGTGAGTGAGTGTATTGTTTTACGCCGCTGGTGAGCGTAACTGGTGAGGCTCTAGCTCCTTCGCGGAGGTGGCCTGGGACTTCCTAGGCTAAGTGTCGAAATCGATCAATATATGAGCCGCTAGCTTCATACAGGGTGTGGTTCTTGCTGGTTCTGCATAAGTAGAGCCGAGTAGATCATCCTATCATCTTCAGAAGTCGCGGTCACTTAAATCTGGTGATAAGAATCTCATTGATCGCTCTAGATCTATTAATGCCAACAACATACGCCTGGCGCTTGAACTGTTATGGCTTTTATGGTAGGCTGTGTCCACATACTGTGGCACCGCAGCAATCGAAGTCGATTGAGGTAAGGTGATGGCGCCTGCCTCGCCTTCCTTTATCAGGTATGTCTGCGCCGAAGCTGCCACTCTTGGAAGGTGAAGAGAGATCTAGGTTGTTTACCATCCAATATCGTGATCTCAGCGCCTGAGAAAATGATGCCTCCATCATTTTCATCCCAGCATCACTGATGAGAGGTTGATGCTCTTCTGATGGTGGACTGTGTATTTCTATCTCTATGTCGGGTGACGCCGGGAGACCTGACTGTAGACTTGTGTGCAGACTTGTGTGGTGACCTGTGAGACGATCGACGGGTGATGTACGAGGAGATCGCACGGTTAACGGCGCTGAGATCGTGGTTGGTGAACTGCGCCTATGCGCTGACCTTCTCGAGACCTGTGAGGAGAATGTTGATAGCTTCGCTGGCTCTCGTAGTCAGGTGTCCTTCGCTGGCTTTCGCTAAGGCCTTCGCTGGCTTCCTCTGCGTCCGTCCTGGGAACGGCGATTTGACCTTCGCTAAGGCTTCCGTGAGGTCTGACGGTCTGAGTCCGCATCTAGGGATGAAGCCGAGGAATGTGATGATCTATCCCGCCCGCTGGCCTTCGCCTTCGCTGTACATCTGGGTCCTTCGCGGAGGTGGTCTGCGACGACTTCCTTCGCTGGCTGTGGCTTCGCCGTGGCTGCTACGCTGATGGGGTGCCTCTGGGGTGTCGCTCATGCTGGAACCTTCGCTAAGGCTCGGCCTTGGGCTGGCTGCTTCCCAGTCTGTGGTGGCCCTCCATCATGATCATGATTTGCCGCAACAGTTCATCTGGGATGGTCTGGCGACGAATTAGTCGGTGCCCTCTCTCTGCGATGTTAGCGGCGGACCCTCAGGGAAGTCGCCTGACGCCAGTGTAGAGACATCAGGCTGCATGGCGATCTCTGCTGATGTCACTGTAGCTGCCTCCGGCCGCTTCTTGTGGCGACGCCGGAATGATGATCAGCTGATCATCGTGAGAGGCCCAGTTCAGCTGCTGGAACAATCTCGCTGAGAAAGTCCTAGTAGACTTCGCTGATTTCCCCTCAGAGGTCGACGCTGCCCTGGGGTGCTAAGTCTGCGCTGAGTGTTGGTAGCGACGGACCCTCAGGAAGATCATAGAATATCAGCGCTGGTACATCAGGCTGCATGTTGATCTGCGCTGACATCACTGCTGCCGACATCGGTCATTCTTTGATGTAATATCAGGTATGATGATCGGCTGATCATCATACAGGCCCAAATTCGCGACGGAACAATCTCGCTGAGAAAGTTCAAGTAGACTTCGCTGATTTCCCCTCAGAGGTCGCTGAGATGCAGTAGAAAACTCTAGTCTTCGGCCGCGACGATGGGATGTCTGGGGAAGCAGGACACTTCTTGAGGCGGCGGACTACGCCCCACTTCCCACCACTCTAGCGAACACCAGACGGAGCCGGGTCGACCAACAGCAGTAGACTGGCGAGGGGTTCAGGTGTATCAGTCATGGCTAGACTCTGCATACATGCCACTCCATTCGCTGCTGCCTCAAACGCAAAGTAATTATTTATTAAAGGCAGAAATGGATAAATTAGTACCGCGAACTGCAACGCGAATAAAATGAACATGGCGCAGTACAACTAGGGCATATTAAATGCGGATCAGCAGCAGAATAAAAACGAATCTGCAACAGAACAGAATTTTTATCAACGTAATCCACTGAAACAAACACGGCCCCCGTGAATAAACAGTAGAAACACGACTAAATATCAATATATAATTGTTGAAGGATACTAGCTAAACCTCTATAGATGTCTATACGAGGTAACTAACTAAATATAATCAAAGGATATAGTGTGTCGGAGACACAGGTGCTCTCACGCCCAGCTCACTGGGCTAAGAAGGAGAGAGTGAGGCACATGGTGGAGGTGGCTACTCGCTCCCTTTGTGGAAGGGAGGTAACTCGTGCTGAGTACTAATTAGTGATTTTACATTGAAGGAGCTTCAATTAGGGAGATACAAGTGTTCCACTATGTTCGCAAGAAGAAGAAGACAAGCAAAAAGAGCATGAGTCAGGATAAGGAAAAACCTGTTTATTTTAGGCTTTATTTTTATTGTTGGGCCTTTACTGCATGTTTACTGATGGGCCTTATGTTCTGTATGAGGGCCTTACATCCCAGGTATTGTTGGGCCTTATGCCCTGTGTGTGGCTGGGCCTTAAGACCTGGGTATTGTTGGGCCTTTACTTCCTGTTTATTGTTGGGCCTTTACTTCCTGTTTACTGTTGGGCCTTATGTCCTTGGTATTGTGTGGCCTTATCTCCTCTGTATTGTTGGACCTGATGTCCTGTGTATTGCTGGGCCTTGTGTCTTAGGTAATGTTAAGTCTTATCTCTTGTTCATTGTTGGCCTGATGTTCTGTGTATGGTTGAGCCTTACATCCTGTGTATTATCAGGTCTTACCTCTACTTTACTGTTTGGGTCAGCTCCCCTTCTGTAGCAGCAACAGACACATGTCCTCATTCTCCTGAGCAGACTCACACGAAAACAGGAACACAGGACATCCATCCTTGGCAACATTGTTCAATTCCGCCCCGTTGCTAACGGCAACCTCCATACACTTGGCGTGACGCTGTGTCGGTGATATGCAGTAGAAGATGATTCCTGGGGAACAAGCAATAAGACATTATTACACTGTTGTAGCGCCAGTCAAGCAACACCTGGGACACCGATGTAGCACCAGTCAGATAACACCTGGGATACCAATGTAGCACCAGTCAGATAACACCTAGGATACCAATGTAGCACCAGTCAGATAACAACTGGGATACCGATGTAGCACCAGTCAGATAACACCTGGGACACATCAAATTCACACATAGCACCATAATTGCTAATTACATGCCTAATCTACCTATTAATTAAATAATTAATTAAAAATCACAACAACATGAACTGATTATATACGAGAGAAAATAGTGGTTGCATGACTCTACATGAAGATGAGCCCTGATCCTGGTACAGGTACCCACTACACCACAGTTACCCAATACACCAATAGGCTGTGATGGTCAGCTGATTGCTTACAAACTCACCTGGATCAATAATGAACACACCAAGCAACTAACGTGAAATGTTTGCCTGACTTCAGATAATTAAAGACAGGTATTGGAGCTAGATACTCCTGGTTTTCACCGGGAGTTGATTGACTTAGATGAAACTGTGAGAAGCTGTGTTTTGGTCAATGACACAAATAAACTCTGTTGTGTCACTACTCATTTAAGTTTAATTCCATTAACAAATAGTTTGAGACACTCATCCACAGCACCTACAAACATGAAAGATTAACAAGAGATTTAATTGCTATGGCAACCATAACAACAAATACATATTGGCTGAACGAAAGTTATTAAAAAGGTTAGGCTTGTAGTTTTTATGTAATGTTTTAATGGCCATCTATTGAACACTGATGTACCCCATGCAAAGAAGTATGAATCATATATAAATATATATAATCCCAAAGACAAAAGTACTTGATATGTTCTTATATATCATAAGGTGGTTATTTATAGAAATAAAATAAGTCAAAATGCCTCTTATTATAGTATTTATTTTAGTATTTAAATTGTCTCAGTGTTAAATTTAATTGTTTGAGTAGTATTCTAGATGTTGGTAAGTCAGTAATGAAGCAACCCAAGTTGGCACATAGCTAAAATTGGCCTAGCCTGGTGATGCCATTTAGGTCTAATGAATAGCATTCCATTTCGAAACTGGGGTAGCCCTCAAGAACCTCCACACCCTTGGCCATTAAATCAACAGTTGCGCCTTTGTTATTCCTTCAACATTGTCCACCTTTCTCAGGAAGGTGGGCTCTTACTGTAATATCAATAATCCAAAATGTTGTCTAGCAGTCTAACACAACACTGCCAATCCATCCAAACTGCAGATTTATGTAATATGCCATACGAAATCAAGGCACCATGAAATGCACCACTGATCAGCACTGATCTCCTGGGACCCATGGAAACAAAGCACGGGCCCAGACAACGTAATTAGTCTGTACAGCTGGGAGCAGCCATGTTGATGAGTATTTGTCTGTTTGTCTTGTAGCTCTCCACAGAGATAACAATAATTACCTGTCATTAATTTGCCATGCAGAATTAATTATTAATGCAGTGGGATACCACAGGTGTCCAAGAAGGAGAAAACACCAAAATTGATGGGATATTTCATGTGCATATTAGAAGGGTCCTACTGAAGGAGTGGATGTGTACTAGCTGACATCCATCACCTGATGAAGACAATGTTAAAAGTAGATTCGTTATTGCAATACAGTGAAACCTCGTTAATTCAAACTCCCTTAAGTTGATGCAGGAAGCAAAGGTACAGGGAGGCTCCATGCTCCTTAGTGTGGTGATTCACCTGCAGTTGTTGGTGTGACTATGCTTGTCGTAAGAGGCGACTAACGGGATCAGGTGGTCAGGCTCGCTGACTTGGTTGACACATGTCATCGGTTCCCAATTGCGCAGATCGATACTCATGCTGTTGATCACTGACTTGTCTGGTCCAGACTCGATTATTTACAGACCGCCGCCATATAGCTGGAATATTGCTGAGTGTGGCGTAAAACTAAACTCACTCACTCAGTTGTTGGTGATGTAAAGCCTGTCATTTATTGTATTCTGTATAGTTTAAATTTACATGCTAGTTTTACATCTATATCTGTGATATTCTAGTTGTTTTTACTGCCTTTCATCCACAGGTTTTTATATTCTAAGTTTATGTGTCATGAATGTATAACTTGTTTTAGTCACGATATGGCTGAGATACTGCTGATGTGACTAAAAATCCTAACTTACTCAGAATACTTAGGCACAATAACTGTCCGAGGAACATCACAGGGCTTGTAAAGGTATTTGCAAAGGTAAAAGTACCAAAGCTTAACAACTGTTTTATATACACTAAGATAATAAGAAAATATATTTGAAACACATTTTTCAATGTCCCTCCTATACTATCTTCTGACCCAAATGATATTCCAGCTATATGACAGTAGTCTGTAAATCTCCGGGTCTGGATCAGACAATCCGGTGATTCCTGTACAAGTGCTATATGCTCTGTACCCTGGATATTCTGTACCCTGGATATTCTGCACAATACATGAAATATTCCTTGGATGAATATTAGCTTCACTGGTTCTTCATGCGTAATTCAAGGGGCATATTTAATAGTCTTCTTAATATGTTTTTTGACAACTGTCCAAAAATATTCGAAAAAAAATGTCTAAACCAAATTAGAAATGATGGGAACTTAATTTGTAGAAATAATGTGCACATGATCAATTGTAAATAGCATACTGTGACCTATGATGGTCTGTCATGAGTGAGTGAGTTAAAAGTTAACATGACATCTACGGTATCTCAGCCATAAAGAGGCATGTGGCTGGTAAAAAGAGCTAAATATACAGATCACAAGGTCTCACAAAACTTTAAAGCAAATAAACAGTTCAAACAGCTTTCCTTTGAGAGGTACAAATACCATCAAGAGCAACTGCATACCATTCCACAGGACAAATGTAATAAAATACATTATTAAATAACAATGACATAAATATGTCCAGCAGAACATAACATTCTGTTCACATGCTCTGTACAAGTTAATGATGCATGGCATTGACAGTGCTGTATTTATCTGGTGTCCATTATTCAGCTAATTACTCACCCTTTCCCTCGAGATCTGTCAGGCCGAGATTGGCACTCGCCTTGACTAGTTTCTCCAGACAGTGGACATGGCCGTACTCTGCTGCCCTCATTGCTGCAGTGCGTCCCTGTAAGGAGCCCACAAATCTGACATGTCAGCAATGTAATCATGCTAATCACTGGGATAATTTGGAAAAGTATACTTTTTCAGGAAAATGAATGGAGAGGGGTGGAGGTTTCTTTATTAAACAAAGTTTAATGAAAAACAGTTATTTGCTTGACTCTATTTCTGGTTTGACTTGACTTGACTTTGTCCTCTTTAATTACACCTTGAGGAGCACAGGGCCTCAACATTTGTCCTCCAAGCTTGCCGGTCAGTGGCTGTGCTATTTCTAGTTTAAATATAATAAATAATCAGATGTATTTTAAGCAAGTCTTCAAATAATGACACTAAATATAATTCCTCTGAAATAAAAACCCCAATCTCACCCATGATCATTTGTTGTAGGAACTTTATTACTGTTTCTTTTATGATGGTGTTCATATTTGGCAGTTTTGACAGGAATACATTTACAAACTTCTTTTCTTGAATCTGGTAATGCTACTGACTACTTAAGTCGAAATTCTTGCTGTTTGAAACACAGACTCTGCATTTTTTAATTCCTTAAGGTAGTGTAAAATTCAATTGTAAAATAACTTTTTCTTGTTCATTATGGTGGGTTTTTTTCATAGCTACCATTACTGAATTATTTAGAAGTTTGCACTTTTCACATAACTCTCAGCTCTTGACAACAACAAAAAATCTGTAACCATGGTAACTAAATAACTGTAACTGTAAGCTTGTTTATATTCAACTCTTGTAACAGAAAACATACTTTATGTCTTGCTTGCAGGGGGGGGGATCTCGAGAGAAAATTAATAGCAGTTTTATTTTTAAAATACATGAATACATTTCAGCAATTTTCACATGCAGTCACATACATGGTCAATTTGGTTATTTGCACAAATTGATTTAAAATAATACTGCATAATGCGCTCATTTCCACGCTTGCAGCATCAACAAAATTGATAGCTTATGGGAAATATTTTAGTGTTTTATCCTCATAAATAAGAAAACTTATTCAACCCTGATTTTACACACCTAAACTGATAAAATAAATGATAAATTTATTCTTACCTTGAAATCCATCACATCTGGATGGGCACCGAGATCTAATAGAAATTCAATCATTTCATCATCGTTGGCGATCGCAGCAACACTCAAGGCCGTGGTGCCTTCAGTTGGATCGTTGTAGTTGATCAAGTGAGGGAGACCGCTCAAAGTGAGCTTCTCGATTTGTTGGCGGTCTCTTTCTCGAACACATTGCAATAATTTACACACTTGCAACGTTTCAAGTCTATTTTGTGCGACTGGCATCTTGAATGATTCCGATTTCTACCCTCAACACATACAAAAATTGATGACAAGAGTGAATAATATGTGGAGTCTTATTCACCGTAACTCTGAAATGTAAATAACACAAATAGGATTATGTGATTGGCGACGAGCTGCCGCCAGTTGACTGTCACCCGTAGAAAGTACTTCTGGGACTCTTCGCTAGTGTCATCTAGATTCTAGGAAATGTATGACAGTAACCATAGATGGTAAACTAAGTTTGACTTGGTTTCAAGTCATGTCCCCCAGTACTCCATCTTGTCGCCAGGTCACCGACATAGAATGAGGTTGTTGACAGTTTCCATGGCACACGCGCACCTGCCACCTGGGAATCAAGGGGACGCAACTCTGTAGCGACAGGCTTACGTTGTCTTGATTTGCGAAATCGATCTCACACATTTTCTCATAAATAATTTTGTTGCCCGCTGTTCCTTTTATCGAGCATTTGTGGTTCATGAGAGTAGGTGGGTTAAACGGAGAGAGAATCTGTGAAACTACTAGAAGGAAACACGAAAGCAGGCTATAAATAATTGGCCTATCTGTCTTTATCATGTGGGGAAATCGGCGCTGCTGAGAAGATACCAATTAGATTAGATATATCTTTAATCACAAATATGCCATTTGCAGGATATCAAACGGTTACATACAGATGTCATAATGGATTTATTGAGTTCAAATTTTAATGGCTGATAATGGACTTGTGTGGTAAATGTAGTAAAGCTTCTATTGTTAGGTTCTTATTGATATCATGCCAGTGATGATATATTAGGGGTACTTTTAAACTCCGTTGAAACACACTCGCATTTTCTAAGATTTTAAGAGGACTTGGTTATAAAATGGCTCATGGTTGAAACTATTGACTTTAGGAAGAATTTGAAGAAAATATTAGTGATATTTTTTATCACATATGATTAAAAAACGGTTGTTGATTTGGACAAAACTTATTGTTGTGTAAATAATAATTAGTAGAATAATATGCTCCGTTTATTGTGTGTACGTTTGGAAGGCGGGCCACAATGACGATGCCCTCGTCATTCAAGAACACAGAGGTCATAGCATTTTCAGCTGATAGCATAGCCTTGTCCTTCTTTGGTGGGAGTAGTGTCAAATGCATCCGCTGTTTGATTGTTATTTGTACTCAGACAGGGAGTGGTGAACCCAGGTTTCAGCCATGGTCATAGATCGTTGCAAGAACGTGTTCAGATCAGCTTCAAACAGAGCTAGATTATCGCCAGATTGCTGCGTTTTTTATCAGATGTCAGAAACTTTGGAACCAACGAGCTGATAACGCCTTTATTGCCCGTTTCTACTCCCCACCTATATACTGTGGCAGTAAGGTTCTTGTTAGTGTTGTACTCATACGTTCATGCATTGCTTCTGGTGTTAAGTACCTCATCACTACACTTTCCTCAACTGTGTCCATTTACCCAAGATCCCAGAACCATGCCTATTTCATCGACTTTACTGACAACAATCAACGAAACAATTTGCTAAACTGACCCATATTTAAACGGATATTCCACTAAGTAATCATGTTATAATGTCGAATTCAAATTATTTTAATCCAGCAGATGGATGGATAAGGTACAGCGTCACAAATGGGCAAGTTGTAACTGTAACCATGCATTCTGATTCTTACAAAGTCGAGGACTTTTATAATAGTATGGTGAGGTTGTTTTCGATATCAAGAGCATGCATGTGTATTTGGCGCGACATATCCACTAGCCTTTCATATTTTTAGGTATGCATGAGTATACCTTTTCTATACAGCTTTCAAAGAGCCTCAAAAATCGGTTCATCTAGATTACAACATTCAAGGTCTCAGTAGTGAGAAAAACTTTCAAAAACAATAAATATTAGTAAATGGGAAGGTCAATTCCAAATTTGAAACCCCACTAACAAAAATAACGTCGCTATTTTGACTCGTACCATGTTATAGTGATTATATTTCTGGTAACCAATTGATTTTGCATGTGTTTGTGACGGATGTCACGAGCGAGACCAGTCGACAAATGGAAGGATACGACCAACTCTTGTGGTTCTCAAGTCGAATCTGACAGTTTATTAGAAGTAGCGAGTGGTGACAAATGGAAGGATACGCCTACATATTCGGGAACACATGTTATCTTACTGTTTGATGTTGATTCATAAACACATGCTTATGATACAGTCGGAATTATACAATCAAGTACATTTCTAGTATGGCTAGTGTACGGAAGGGGTTTTGTTGCCGTTTTGTACTGAATCTGCTTTCTGGGTGATTTTACGTTCGCATGCACCACATGTTAGCCTAAACGCTTGTTGGGGTACTGTAAGAGGAACTAAATTTAGTGCACATTCTTTCCTGTATCATGTATGATAAGCATAGGCGGCTCGGCGTGTGTGTGTGCAACACCCCCCATTTTGTCCTGAAAGTTTATTAAATGACCCGTGAAAACGGGTGTAAAATGAAGTGTGCACTCCCCCTTTCTTCAGAGTGCGTGCGCGCGCGCGTACACACACACACACCTTTTCTCAAAAGCTGTATCCACCCCTGGATAAATTATTTCATCTTACGATCAGTTTATACATGTATCGCATATTAAAATAACATCGAAATGTGTTGTGATTGCAACATATCCATCAATATCAAAGCAAATATGATGTCCATTCACTGGGTCTTCTAAGTTTGAACGTCTTGTTTGCTCTCCTGCTCACTCAGTTGATTATTGAATATTTATAACCCAGTTTCCAGATCTTGTATATTTCAGTTACACCTTTTAGAGATTAGGCTTGGTTTTGTAAATTACCTCCAGAATATTATCTTGGAATACAGGAACTACTCTTGCAACAACTGAATGTATTCTTGAAATTGCAATGCACTTGGGATTTATTCCAAAACTACACATATACCCTTGAATTTATGTACGTGTTATAGATAATAATTATTATTTGATCGCCTTTTTCACATCAGCATTTATCCTCATCTTATCCCATGAAATTAATGTGCGAACATTTCAGTTGTATGATGTCTCAATAACAATTTCAAGTATCATCCAGCTTGGTCTAGCCCCTTTAGACCATCACCATGTCTTCAACCCATGAGGATCCGGGTTATAATTGATCTTCAGCAACCCATGCTTGTTGTAAGGAGTGACTAGCTGGATCAGGTGGATAAAAATTTAGGGTCGATGACTTGGTTGACTATTTCAATTGCGTAGATCAATGCTCATGCTGTTGATCACACCACTGTCTGGCCCAGACTCGATTATTTAGACCACTGCCATATAGCTCGAATATTGCTGAGTGCCGCGTTAAACAAATCAACCAACCAACCCATGAATTTAATGTCTGGAATTTTCAGTTGTATCATGTCTCAATGACAATTTCAAGTATCATCCAGCTACGTCCACTTTAGAATAAATAATTCTTTCAATACTTTGATCTTGACTGAGTAGCAGTAAGTTGCCAGCTTCCTGTATTTCTAACTCTGGCTCGTTAATGGTACATCAACCATGGCTGTATCAAACAACTCTGTTCTGGTGCATCATAAAGTGAGTGAATTTCTCTAATACTGGTGCTGAAGTAAGCATCTTTTTCAAAATGTCCAGTTTACCTGAAGAAAGAGCATATAATTTTTCTCAAGACTAGTTATGGAGATGTTTTGATGGGCCACAGTGCTCTTGATGTGGGCTAATAGGTGATTGCTTTTCAAATTCTTGATAAAAAGCTGTGAAACCATTATGGTACTTAAATCAACTCTGTCTAAGATCATGATGAAACACTATTGAAAATGATATCAACCATCTTCTACTCGTCTGAAGGGCATCTTTAACAAAACAGACAGACTGCTTCAGACATGTCAGACCTGTGCTGAACTCGATGATATAAAAAAATAATACACTACATCGGAACAATATTAAATACACAAACAGTACAAAGGTTTTGTCTCAGATACTTTTTAATTCCTCATTCACACAAAATAATGACAATGACCAACATTTTCTGCTCTTCAACAGGTTAATAACCTCTGAGATGCACACAGTACTCACAAAGGTGTCAATGCTAACAAATGTTTCCTATAGTCCTATGTATTCAATCCTTCTTGGTAGGAAATGACATTTTGTAAAAGAGAAGATAGCCTGTTGGTATGAGGCCAAGCAGAGTCATTCCCATGGTGACTTGATAGCCGAAATTGTCACGGAATCCACACTTCTGCCACACAAGCAGGCCATCGTCTCTCTAGAAACAAAGACATTTTGAGTGAACCAGGGCACCTATAATAACTGAACATGTAAACAGGGAAAAAGATTATTCTTATGCATAAACAATAACTATGTGAACACTGATGTTTTGTGGATTCACTTCATAACAAAAAATACACTGGTATACTTATGGCATGGTGTTCATATTGCTTACTGTGTTATTTTTCTTGGCAACAACAGGTAAAGGAGTGGGTGGGTGTAGATTGACAACATTCAGATACACTTAAAAATATATGACAAGAACCTAAAAATAATCAAAGTCATGACCAGACTTACTTGCAATGTATATTATGCACAACAATCCATGCCATTTGTGTATGTGAACATGCTATCAAGTAAGTCGCCAAGTCTGACCACCACATACTGCTCTAAAGTCACCCAGTACAACAACAAGCATTAACTGCTGTTTGCCAATTCTAACCTGGGATACCCAGTGGCAAAAACTACATAATTATAAAAAGTTCTCAAAAGTATCTGAGGGTGGGGGATAGTTCAATCTCAAGATTGGGGCAACCAGATATGGACGTCATACACTGTATCTATGTGTAGAAATGAAACCTGCCTTTGCCTTGACATACATTTGCAATAACCACTATGCTACTCTTAAATGTGTTAGGTGTCTATCAAATAATAACAACACTGACATGCCATTAAAACAATCAAAACATAAGCATGGCATATTTCCAGTGAGTTATTTGGGGTACATATTTCATACTTTTTGGAGCAAATGCATTTGTCCTTGTCACATGCATGCCATGTCACCACCAAAGTGCTTTAAGTTTACCTGAACCAAATACAAACATCTGGAAAAAAGTCCTGATGCTCAGCATGCTGAGACAACACTGAGCATGGTGAGAGTACTGAGACACAAAAGGTTTATGAAGAATGTTGTTATTTACTACTTACACACATCATGTTCTGCACCTCCTGGATCTTCTGGTACTGGGAGGAGCCAGGGGTAGTGCCGCGGCATCTGGCAGCAGAGGTGGACAATCCACGAGCAACTACTCGCATTGCCTGTAAAACATTCATTTAAACATTGTAGAACAAACAGTTAT